AAAATGGTTCAGGTCTTGCTCATGTCCTAGGACGGCAGTAATCAATTAAATCGATGATGTTTTAATAAAGATGACGTATGTTCATACTGCGCGACGTTTAAAAATTGTCCCGGTTTAATTGTCATCCTTATTCCTTACTTTATATATTATATATAATTTTATAAAGGCGAAAGTTTGTATGTATGGATGGATGTTTGTTACTCTTTCACGCAAATACTACTGAATGGATTTTAATGAAACTACAATAATATAGCTTATACTTAAGAATAACACATAGGCTTTAATTAATATACATATATTTTTATGTATATCTGTCTTTCTGTCTGAATGTTACGCCTTCAGCTATTCATTCTACGCAGACGTAGTCGCGGGCAGCAGCTAGTATAATATACATTTGTGAATGTGACAGATGATATAGAACGTATGACGCGGAAAGAGATAGCAGTATATAGAATTACACCAATTGGTGCCTCAGTTTCGGTGCCCTAGTGGCATATCTATTTCCTATTTGTTTTCCGGCTGCCCTCAACTTTTCACATAAACACATACACACGAACACACAAAGAAACTAAGACAGCGCCGGGGTGGAGACGTCGAAAGACGCCGGTCCTAAAATTTCCTAATGCCGCCAAACTTTCTGCAGGCCCATCAAACGTTACAACTCCGAGGAGGGTTGCCGGGGGTGCCATTATATGGGGGTGATATTTCCAGAGAGGGGGGGGGGGGTTCAAGGTCGGTTTACGCCCAACCAAATTCACATCTCTTGTCTCTTGGCTCGTCGCGTTACCAGACGGGAATACATGAATGATGTAATGATATAATGATAAGCCGCCCATGATTTAACGCCCCGTTAATCAACTTTAAAATTTGGTTAAAATTATAAATCAATGTTGCAATCGGAACTGGAAAAACGCGCTGTGTTGGTCGATGAATTTTCAAATCGACTACTGTCATACTGGCTTCCTCAAATGTTTTTTTTTTCTTAGAATGGTTTAGACTATCGCTTAGTTTAGATTAAAAACCTAAAGCTGAAACAATGAGATGGTCTAAATTGTCATATTTATTGGTCTCAATAATGTTGATTAAATACTCATTTCAATTAGTTCTATACGTTCAACGTTTATAATTTAGCTATGACATGTAATTTAAATGCAAATAACGCTCCTTAAAATACAAGGTGACCTCCCTTGACAGGGGCAGGGTAAGTTTTTGTATACCTACACATTCAATTATACTATTTGCGGAATAAATTTTTATACATTTCGTCAAGTAACAACTTGAAATAAGTTTCGGTAATCCTTAGAGGTCGACGGTTTGATATATCGGCTGTTTGTGACAGATTGTCAGCCCGGTCTTTGTGTGTAACAAAACACTCCGAGTACCTCACAAGCTACGGAGTTGTCGGCAGGGAAAGTTTCGGGAAACAGACCTCTAAATTATTCTTCCTCGCTCCGTTATACTCGCAAATATTTGTCCTCGTCCTTAGATATAGTTTGCTAAGTCTCTGTTTGAATCGATTTTTGGTTCCGTATTCCTGATTGTATATACGGTAAGTAGTAGTAGTATATGTAGTAAAGTATATTTCTATAGAATGTACCTTTGCTTTTTTTGTTTTCTTTTATTTATTTTTCTTTAATTTATTTCGCGTATTTTGTTTTGCACCTGCGTCAAACTTTCTCTACTCCCAGGGTTGACTGGAAGAGAATGCTTATTAGCATTAAGTTTGCCCTTTGTTTTTTAGTTTGCCTTCAGTTGAGGTGTAAACAATAAATTTTAAATAAATAAATAAATAATAAATAAGTAATGAATAATCCCAAAACTGATGTTGGCAAAGGGTCTTAACTGGGACGCTTCTATGAGATGATGCCATTGCTTTATGGAAACCAAATAAACGTAGTAGTGTCGTCGTTAACATCTGTTCAGAATTCGGACGTTAAACTTTAAAATCAGGTGAACCGCCCGCCAATGTGCCATCTTTTTGTATGTGAGAACGTGGCAAGCGAGCTGGCGGTACACCTGATGTTAAGCGATAAACACTGCCCATTAACATTTGCAATACCCGTGGGGTTGCAGATGCGTTGCCACTTTTAATAAAGTAGACCCCGGCTTCCTCACGCACGAAACGCAGAAGTATAACACTTCTACTTCACGCCGGTCTTCTGTGAGGTCGTGGTACTTACCCGGACGGACCTGCCCATTCTTGCAACAGAGAAGACTGTAAGGTTGTGACTCTGTTAGACGTGGTAGGGCCAACCACAGTTACCAGAAGAAACAAAGTCGAAGAAAGGGAAACGAATGAGTTTTAAAAGTGACTGGACTTTGTAGCGCGCATTACATTGTTACGATGCTCGACCGTTATTATGTAATTAATTTCTAATTGGCAACAATTGTCGAGGGATCGTCGTGAAGAGTGCCCAGTTCAATTAGAGCTAATGTTTTCACTGTGACACGATGGTTTCACCGTTAATAGAATTAAATTAAAATTAAATAAGGCTTGGATTCGCAAAAGAAGATATTTACCTAATGAAATTATGAACCGTTACTTTAATTTATCGTTTAATTCATCATAATTTCAGTCTTTGAGTCCACTGCTGAACATAGGCCTCCCCTATAGATAGACTGCCACGAAGTACAATCCTGAGACACTTGCATCCATCGACTTCCCGCACATTTGCACATGAGCTTTAACTAGTGGTCGCCCAGTGGTCGAAATTTGACCATAATTAATAATTAAACATGATAGTGTGTGTAATGTTTTTTATTAATTTTAATTTTAAATGCATGTATTGTAAATTATAAACTATTAGTGTGGGAAATTTCATACTCCTCCGTCCGCGCAATTTTCGCAAAAAGGGATACATACGTTTTTGTTTCACGTATTAAATATGTAGATTATCAATCCTTAGTTGGCAAACTTGTATTAAAAAGCACAAAAAAAAAACAAAACTGACTTCAAATACCTCAGTCACTATATTTTCTGTTTGATTTTGAGGATTTGCCCGATGTACCTCCGGAGTCCAAGCTCCAATAAAAACTAAACAAATTATAATGTTACACATTAAGTGCGAAAATTATTACTATAATTTTTTTTAATCGATGTTAATCTTCAAGTGTTTTTATTTTTTTTAATCATCCATGGTTCCTTTCAATGAATAATCTTTATACGTTTTCTATGTCTCCTAATCAAAATTCAAACAGTTTACAGAGATGTGGAGAAAAAACGTTCATTTTAACGGAACGGGATCCATCTGGCAATTACTTAATCCCTTACTAACGACAGCTTGCCATGTACAGACTTAATTACTTAATGTCGCCGCGACAGACGCGTGTTTTAATTACACAAATCGATTTCGACGTTGCGAAAACTAATCGATATTATTCACGTTTTAATCGTTCGTCGCGTAATCGTATAAAAGTTGATCAATTTTACAAAATGCACTAATTGTAGACGCGACTCAAGTATTCACTCGCAGATGCGGATACCGTCAACGAACTACCTACCTTTTCTGTAAGGCGTTTCTCGTTTTATCCTCTAATCAAACTTCATGTTATACTTAGTTTAACAAATATCATAATGATATTTGTCATCATGAATTTTTTTTGTCTTCTTTTAAATATTCCGATTTTTCGAATACTATATAGCCATCACAGTAATGGGAGCTGGCTAATTATCTCATGCTTATTAGCCATAGAGACAAAACATCTCAAATAGATATATTCTCGTCTAGTCCGTATGAGGGGTGCTATGGTCGGCTAGCTAAGGCAGCGGTATTACCATCTCAGAGCATGGGTGGTTCTTGCTACCTTTGGTTGGCTGAATGGAATGCGGACTCTTTGTAGCCATGCCATTCCTAGTGCCGGCACCAATGAAATTATTAATTTTAAGTGCTTCCTTATCACTTACTCAACGATGAAGGAAAACATCTGGAGCAAACCTGCGTATTTTCGAAATAATACAAAATCAATTCTTCGCTGTTGCACGTATGGGCAGGCTCGTCCGGGGTGCTACCATATAACAGAAGACCGTCGTAATCGGATGTATCATACTTACTGTTTCGTCCGATCAGGGAAGCAACCGGGGCCCATTTTTTAAAAGGTTGGCAACGCATCTGCACATGTCCTTGAGTTGACTATGTGCATACGTGGCGGTAAACACGCTCGCTAGGCAAACTACCACATACAAGAAGTCAGGTTAAAGTAAGTTTTCGGTTCACATTAGAATTTAAGAGCTCCGTCTCCATTGTCCCGTCTTCCATAACTCACGGTAAGCTATCTCGTGTGGCTCAAGCGTCACGCGTTCCCCTAATTGCTATCGAATAATTCGTCCGCTTGTCAACACAACTATCAATTTGCTCGTTACTCATCGGGTTACAGGCCTTAATTGGCCCCGCTGTGGTCGAATTGTCCACGATAAGACTGGGACCCCTCCTACCCTTCCACCCCGTTTGCGTCTTGTTCTTGAATTGAGAAGACTGCGACCACGCCTTGTTGGTTCGTCTAATGCTTGCTTAATAATAATCTAACTGACTGCTTGTCATTTGGTGAGCACGCGTAAACTCTTGCTCGATTTAACATATGGCATGACCGTGCACTCCATTCGTGCAAAAAAGCTTTTCATACCCAGTCGTCCCTTATAAACATGCCCAAACACTGAAATTCACAAATTACAGTAGAGTTATCATTTTTTAGTTAAAGAAAACAAATTTGCCATCTCACAGCATTTTCAAGGGCCACTTTGGATATCATAATAAATAGAAATATATTTTTAGTGCATATCCTCCCTGACCCCGCATCGTGTGGGATAAGGGCAGGAGAAAGATGAAGAAAGGAAGTAGTACATACCCTCCCGAAAATCTCTGTGCACGTCAAAAGAAAAAAAAATACTTTGTATCAGCTAACCTCTTATATAAACATTGCCAACACTGAATTGAAAGTTATCATTTATTTGGGCCGTTACCGAAAAGCCTGTAATTAACGTCGTTCTGTTCGTGCTGTTGCAGATGTCGGCTACGACTACGTGGTCGACCAGCAGCCGATCGGCAAGCTGCTGTTCCGCCAGTTCTGCGAGCGGAACCGCCCTGAGTACCACAAGTACAACAGCTTCCTCGATGCGGTATGTGTAGATCCTGAATGGCAAGCAGGCTGGGCTGGACACGTTTTCGCCGAGCAGTTTTACCACCTCTAGCTGTGGCAGCGTGACGTGGACCTGCCACATTCTCGCGGCGACGTTGTTCATCGTAGAATGATCAATTCAAATAGTTTAACCATCATTTTGGCATCTCAAACGACATTTGAAAAACCATTTGACAGCTGATTGGTTAACTTCTACGATGATCAGTGTTTGAGAAACCGGGCGTAAGTAATTTCGTCTCTATACGGCAGCTGTCGTAAGCAAGGGATTTACTAAAGGCCAGTCAAATCCCGTTCCGTTTTGACTGTGGTAGGGGTGCCATGCAGCAGTCTTCGCTGTCACACGTGCGACAGCGAACGTGGGCAGGCTCGTCCGGAGCAGTAACACATAACAGGAAATCGGCGTGAAATCGATGTATTATACTTTCCAACTTCGTCTTGTGTGCGAGTAAGTAGGTTCCTCGAACGGTAACCTCTTACTCTTGTGAACTAGGTCGTTCGACCTTCGTAACATCTCGTGTGCACCTCAAGTTACTAATCACTCAGTTACCAGCTTATGAATAACGGGTACAACGATGCCATTGTATTTTTTTTTATGTGTGAAAAGTTGCCAAACGAGCAGACGGGTCACCTGATGGTAAGTGAATACCGCCGCCCATGGACATCTGCTACACCCGAGGGTTACAGATGCGTTGACAACCGTTTGAAAATTGGGCTCCGGCTACCTCACTCACCAGACGAAAGGCGAAAGTGCGTGGCCCTACCACCGTTAAATAGTAAAAAATGTTATTTTGGTATATGTACCCACCCTGTGTACACAATCCATATGCATTTAGTAATAAGCGTTTATTTTAATATTACAAACAGACACTCCAATTTTATTTATCTGTATTTATAGATTCTTATAACGGTAGGGTAGCTTTCAAAAGCACCGTGACATCGATCAACATTAGAGAAGTTTAGTTTGTCCCGGTCGCTCCTTACCGAAATTGTTATTCGACTACTTAACGATATTTATGTGAGCCACGTGGTGGCTAAAAGCCTCTTATCGTTAACGGGTCGGGTTGGGCAAAAGGGCTGGATACAAACGTAAATAACCAGCGTAACGCCCTGGGGGACTGCGGAACGAGTAATTAAGAGGTAAACTTGTGAAAGAAATAGCGCCCGTTCCTATTCACGGACCCGCCATCCGAATGGATTGGATAATAAAACACATTTAAACATATTACGCTCTGTTCATTTGTTGATGGGAACGTCCAAGTTCATACTGTTTGATTATATTTTCACTTTCAAAGTTTTTCTAGTCATATGTTCCGTTTAACGAAATATTTAGTCTGGTAATATATTATGTCGAATACAAATATTTATACCCTAAATAGTTACTGGTAGGTTACGGGTACTAGGTAAAATATTTATAATTATTTTTTGTTCTTCATTTCCCATTCAACTTCATTTCCCTAATCTCTATATAGTCTGTCAGTGCTATTCCCAACCTAATAGCATCCGATCTTGCACATCCGGGGAAGTACCACGCTCCCACAGAAGACCAGCGTGAAATGGAAGTATACTTTTGCCTTTCATCTGGTCGACAAGGTTACCAGGACCACTTTTTTTAAAGGTTGTCTACAACTTGTAGATGTCCATGGATAGCTGTAATTACTTAACATCACGTGAACCGCCTGTTCGATGGCCCACTTTGTCATAGAAAAATAGATGTAAATCTGTATGTTTCACTGCTGTGCAAAGAACTCCTTGATTGTCGCGCAAGGAGATAGGTTTGAAGATATGAAACTCATTGAATATTCAATATGCATTATAACGGCATTAAGAGCCACGATAGCTTAGTGTCCGAGTACTCGCCTTTAAATCAATACACTCGAGAGATCTGAGTTCGATCTCCGGTGCCGGCACCAATGAAAATATAGTCTAAAGTGCTGACTTATCAGCGGTGCAGGAAAACATCGTGAGGAGACCTGCGTACTTTCGAAATAATAACAAAAAAATCCATATCTTGTAAAGATCCGTAGGGGAACCGCGTGGTGGACTATGCCCTGATACTCTCTGTCTGTACATAGGAGGCCTTTTCCCAGCAGTGGGGCATGTACAGACCGTTACTTTTAATTTAAGCACTATAACATTGAAACTGTTCGCAACCCCCGCCTTCCACATTTCCATAGCGGCAATCAAGGGTCTTGAGTCCCAGAGCCAGATCATAAATCGCGCGAAGCTCGCTTGTTCCCAGGTGGACAGGTACGAGGTGGGTGTCGACGAGACGCGGGTGGCCCTCGCCGCCGAGGTGTTCGGCAGGTACCTGAAGGCGGAGGACGGCGATGCGGTCACGGACGTGGTCTCCGCCTCGGTGGTGGACGGCGCGAGCTCCCTGCTCGAGGGTACGGTACAATCGCTGGGGCTGGACGACAACCAAAGATAAAGTCAGAGTCGAAATTTCTCCATTAAATATATCGCTGGATGTTGGATCAAAGCATAATGTCAAAGTCAGTCGAAATTTCTTCATTCAATATACCGCTGGACGCTGGATCGAAGAATAAAGTCAAAGTCAAAGTAGAAATTTCTTTAAATTTTTTAGTAAATTTAAATGTAAGCTGGACGTTGACATTAAATTTAAATGAGAATAGTACTATTGTACTACTTCATGGGGATAGTTCATCTGTAAGGAAACAGGAAATTGTTAATAATATGGAAATATTACTTAACTTACATTATAAAACTAAGTGCAAATTTATATTATGCTCATTTCCATATTCCTCTTTCCTTTCAGAGGAACAAAATAAATACATATATAGTCTTAACATGACTATATATAACATAAATTCACCGTCATAGTGACGCTTTCTTTTATTTCGACTTAAATAATTTTATTAAATCTAGTTTTAAGGTGACAAAAAATACTTTGTATTTGCCACTATATTATAAGAAACTAATTGCTACTCTAGTAGCATATAATATACAAAACCCAGTTGTAAATAGTACAACTAAGAATATTTTATTATGTAATAATCTTTCAGCAAACAATGTTAGTTTAAACTAAACATTGAGACAACGCCTAGGCCACTTAAATTAAATATTGTGCATCAAAATATACAAGGCTTAAGCGGCAAAGAACCCGAAATTGAATTGTTCCTTAGGAAATTTAATATACATGTCATCTGCTTCACAGAGACATGGTTACATAAGCACTGTAATATTGTTAATATAGAAAATTATAAATTGTTAAGTTCGTTCGTAAGAGTAAATGCTATTCGCGGTGGCTCTCTTGTATTAGTTAGAACTGAAATAGTCTGTAAAAATCGACAGGATATAGTGGCACACTCTGTCGAACGTTCTATTGAATTATCCTGCGTTGAGAGTCAACAGTATATTATAGTATGCGTATACCGGCCCCCCTCAGGTGATTTCGATCAGTTTGAGTGTGTAATGGATGATGTTCTTAAAAAACTATGTTCAAGTAATAAATCATTAATAGTTTGTGGAGATTTTAATGTGGATTTATTACAAGTAACACAACTCAGTAAACGACTTTTAAATTTATTTAACTCATTTGAACTTAAAAATCTTTTTCATGAACCAACTCGTGTTACTAACTTATCGTCCTCATGTATAGATAATGTATTCTGTCACAGTGATGTATATGATAAATATGTTATAAATCATCTGAGCTCGGATCACTTTGGGCTAAAATTTTCAATAAATGAAAAAGCTAATACAAGCAAACTTAAGATCAAGTGTAGACCAGTCACTACTAATAGAATAAATGCTTTTAGAGATAAAGTGGCACATCATATGTTAAATAAAGATATAGGAGTCAATAACCCTAATGACTCTTATAGATCAATGGTTGACTTCCTCATATCTTCTTATAATGATACTTTTAAATCGCGCACAATTGTTAAGAATTCAAAATTAAAATTTAGTGACTGGGCAACAGTGGGTATATACAAAAGTAGGGATTCATTGTATGAATTATATAGTATGAGGCAGTGGAATCACGATCCTAACTTCCTTAAACGGGTACAAAAACATTTTCAAAAATATTTAAAAAAGTCTGTATTCAGGCAAAATCTATGTATATAAGAAATAGCATAATAAATTCAAACAATAGAACTAAAGCCACATGGGACATCATTACCCGTATATCTGGAAGAACCAAGATATTCAGGGAACCTATAAAACTAGTTATAGGTAATACTCCCATAATATCAGATAACGAAATTGCGAGTAGTTTCGAAAGCTATTTTTCAGACATTGCGGTTAATGTCACACGTACATTAAAATCATCTCCCGCAGACGCAATTAATGTTTTAAGAAATAATGTTACCCCTTGCCTACACACATTTAAATTTAATCACGTAGATACTTATGATATTATAAAAGTTTTGAATTCTATTAATCTTAAAAATACAGAGGATTTATGGGGTATGTCCATAAAATTAATGAGCACAATAATGCCATATATTGCACCACATTTGGCTTCTATTTTTAACAACTGCATAGATTCTGGAATATTTCCAGATCTTATGAAATTTAGTAAGATAATACCTGTCTACAAAAGTGGTGATAAAAATGATCCAGGCAACTATAGACCTATTTCCATATTGCCATCTCTTAGTAAAGTTTTTGAAAAGCTAATATTAAATCAACTTTTAGTTCATTTTAATGTGAACAAAATCTTTCACGATGAGCAATATGGATTCACTAAAGGCAGATCGACAACAGATGCGGGCGTCGCACTTGTCAAACATATTTATAACGCCTGGGAAAGGTCACAAGATGCAATAGGTGTCTTTTGTGACCTTTCAAAAGCCTTCGACTGCGTAGACCATAAAACTATTCTTCAAAAGCTAGAATATTATGGCATTCGTGGGATCGCCCTCAATCTCATTGCCTCTTACCTTAGTAATAGAATTCAAAAAGTATCTATAAATGATGTTAATTCCACTGGGTCCCAGATGAAAATGGGAGTCCCACAAGGATCAATCTTGGGCCCATTATTATTTTTAGTATATATTAATGATCTCCCCCTTTTATGCCAGTGGGTTGTGTGATGTTGTACTGTTTGCTGACGATACATCGCTTATTTTTAAAGTTGACCGAAACGTATTAAATTATGACGACGTGAATAGTGCGCTTTCACATATCCTCCACTGGTTTACTATTAATAATATGGTATTAAATGCCAAAAAAAAAACCAGATGTATTCTTTTTACCCTTCCCAGTATAAGAAGGAAAAGTTTTAGTTTAATATTAAATAACGTACCCATTAATCCAGTTGAGTCTGCTGTATTTCTGGGAATTACAGTAGATTCAAAGCTCCAGTGGAGTCCCCATATATCATCTCTTGCGAATAGGCTGAGCTCCGCGGTTTTTGCGATTAGAAGGGTTAGGCAGCTAACAGACATCGACACTGCCAGACTTGTTTACTTTAGTTATTTTCACAGCATCTTGTCGTACGGCATTTTGTTGTGGGGCAGTGCATCAGATATAAATACTATATTTATTCTTCAAAAAAGAGCTGTCGAGCAATCTACAATATCGGAGCCCGGAATTCACTCAGAGATCTTTTCAAAGAGGTTAATATACTCACTGTTGCTTCTCAATACATTTATTGTAATGTTTTGTATATACGTCATAACCTTAATTATTACCTAAAGAATAGTGACAGACATAAAATAAACACTAGAAATAAGGACAAAACTTACTACGCCATTGTTTCGTCTACAAAAAGTAAATAAGTCGTTCATGGGGCAAAGTGTACGCATGTATAATAAAATCCCACAGTCGATATTAAGTCTGCCGCTTGACCAATTTAAATGTAAAATTAAAAATCAACTGATGATTAAAGCATATTATACCATTTCGGAATATCTCGACGACGCCAATGTGTGGAGTTAATACTGTTGATACTCACGTAGGCTAGAATAAGACTATTATACCTGTATATTATATTGTACCCTGATATTTTTGAAAAAGAGCAACTGTTGAGTTTCTTGCCGGTCTCTTCTCAACAGAAACCGCTTTCCGAACCGGTGGTACCTTACGAACCTATACACATAATCTTTGATGTAAAATTTGACGATTCATAAGAGCGCGCAAGCGTCTATTTGAATAAATATATTTTGATTTTGATTTTGGTTGGATCAAAGAATGCAGTCGATATTTCTCTATTCAATATAGGAAAAAAAGAAAGAAAGAAAACATTTATTGCACAAACACGCCACATGTACATGTAAACGGCAAACATATGAATACATAGTAAAAAGAAAAAAAAAATTATGAAGCACAGCACACATTTTACACGCACACCTGTGTGTGGCGTATACGGCAAACAGACCGCACTCAGCTTAATGTTGCAGTCGATTCGAGACTACAGCGATGGTTTTCAGGGGGCTATTGGCTTTCATGTAGGCTTGTTGTAAGCTCTTGTTGAACGTCAAAAACTACCACCGGCTCACTATACTACCTGTCCTGAAGCGGCAAGAAACTCTGCGGTCTTATATATATATATATATATATATAGTAGAGTCATTGCCACACCACCTTGTGCTCGATTTATTTTTCGACATTATAATAGGCCCTTTCCATTAAGGTAGCTTTTAGAATGATATAACAGTTGCTGACGTAGGAGGGAGGAGGCCTATGCCCAGAAGTGGGCTGATACGGGCTGACGATGATGATGATGATGAGGTATTTTGGTGGCGTGGGATTCATGAGTGACATCCCACATGAAAAAAACAGCTTATGAAAAACTGATAAATCAATAGTTTCTTTTAATATAACACTACATAACCTCTAGTGGCTCTTAACTCCGCTAATTTTGTCGTTAGAATTGAGTTCCTTAACGAATACCTCTGGTGTACCGTTTAGCTTTAGATGGGAACAAATGCGAACGAAAAACGATTCAAATCATGATTATGATTAGAGTACAAATCAACGCCTTATTTGAACAGTTGTAATCTGTTAAACTGCGAAATAAAAAAAAAAACAAAGTTGTCATTCCACTTGGTTGATGATGTCTCGAGTCGGAAGACTGAGCTTCGAACTCCGACGAACGATACGACTTAGAAACCTTCTAGAAGAGAGCCTACTCCCACCTCAAAGGCCGGCAACGCAATTGCGACTCAACCGATATTGCAAATGTCCATGGGCGGCAGTGATTGCTGGTTGCCTGGAAGAGATCGTATTGAAGCGATAAGGGCGTCAAATTGTACATTGCATTTGTTGTTCTGTTGTCATGTGTATTTTCATTTGTGGTGGCCAATAAAAGTGTATTCATTCCATCATTCATTCACTCACTCATTCATTCACTCATTTAGTCATTCATCAGGTGACCCGCACGCTTGTTCTCGCACCTCATTTTCCCATAAAAAGAATCCTATTTGAGCGCTCCCCCGCTGATCCGCAGGCGGCTCCAAGGACATATTCGGCGAGTGCGTCCGCTGCGTGAAGAACTTCCTCGCCGGCACGCCATTCGCCGAGTTCGAGCGATCAATGTATTTGCCACCGCTACCTGCAGTGGAAGTGGCTCGAGGCGCAGCCTGTCACCCAGCACACGTTCCGCATGTACCGCGTGCTCGGCAAGGGCGGCTTCGGCGAGGTCTGCGCCTGCCAGGTGGGCACGCACACACATTCATACTCACACACACACTGACATGCACGTATACGTCCATAATATACCCCCACTTAGTGGACGAAGGAGATCCGCATCTTTCATTATAAATAACTCAATCTTTCGTTAAATAACCGTTTCAAAAAAATAATAACTTCAAAATATGTATCAAAGCATGCATATTTTCGCATTTGTGATTATAATTAGTACAATCTCAAGTAACTATGATAAAAAATCATATTACCAGAGTTTCATTTCAAAAACGACGATATGAAAATGTTACATCAATTGATCACAATTCCAAATCGATCATTATCCGAATGATCGATAAAAATATTGTATACGTGACCCTGAGAATAATTTCGGCAACTCGCGTTACCTCGATTCAGGTACGGGCGACCGGTAAAATGTACGCGTGCAAGAAGTTGGAGAAGAAGAGGATAAAGAAGAGGAAAGGCGAGGCGATGGTGCTGATAGAGAAGCAGATACTGCAGCGGATAAACTCTCGGTTCGTGGTGAACCTGGCGTACGCTTACGAGACTAAAGACGCCCTCTGTCTGGTGCTGACCATCATGAATGGTGAGTGGCGTTTGCTGGTTAACTTTCGACCGCTGGTCGGTTCTTCAATATACTAGGGTCTGAAGAAGACCTATCCTAGAATATTTCAGCCTTCAGGGTCTTAGGAAGCTTTGGAAAACTAGCATTACCTCACACGCGATCTGTATTTAAGACTGAAAGCGAAATGTCCTCGCTCTTTCGCGTAGTAATTACCAACGAATCTTCACGTCGAAATCATTGCTCCTCTCTGTACTCTTGATAGCATTATCCTGTGTTGTAAGGACGTTTTTACGTACTGAAACTTCACAAACACCCATATCCGAAACAATTATCTGTTGATGACACAAATAACCGTCTCGTGTGGGAATCATATTAGCTCAAAAGACCGGCGCAAAGTAGAAGTACTTCAACATTTTAAATAGGTCTCCTAATTATGGTTACTGAGGCCCACCAACTGTGTGCTGATGATGTCCACATTTGACGGAAATGACTTATCATCTAGCAACTCACATAAAAAATAATGTTAAATATTTAAACTAGGGATCGATTTTCCATCACGTTCTTTATATACCATAATGTCATTTACATTATCATATTTTGCAAATCGGCACTTCTAAGAATTGATAGGAACAGGAGTATATCTACCTAATATTAAATTGTCTAAAGAGTCTGAGAATTGGTTGTTGTACCATATTAGGATACAGATATAAGTCAATGTTACTCACCCATGCAATGATAGGTGCTTAATTTTTAGAATTTCAATAAAGAATCAACCTAAGAAATAGATACAAGAGTAGGATTAAGTCGAATCCTAGTGTAGTCTTTTACAAATTGAAAACCAAGTTTCAAAATCGTTCCTTTCGCAGACCGAGAAGCGGTCGTTCGTGTCAAAATGGTCAGTTTGAAACAATTACAGTGTTTCGTTAAAGCCAATCAAAGCTGGACTTAACGCGTAGTCTGCTTTTGTTCTCGAGGGAAACAAAACGAGGGCAACACTTGACAGTTTTGTCTATACATCGTACGTCATAGACAACGATCGAGTGTTGCCATATACATAATGCCTTAGCATTTGTTATGTGTCTAACAATTCATTTTAACTGTGAATAACTCCAAGCGCAGTTAGAATTTGGACCTGTTTATTGTAACTAATAGCGTTTTTGCGTTTTATATGTCCCGTTACTAATGATTGCGTTGACAGTAGTTACAGACGTAATGACGTTTTTAACCCTAGCTAGCACGTTCTCCTATACGACTGCCTGAAAATTTCCCGATTAGATGTTAATATTAATATGAACAAAGCAGAATATAGTGCCTTCTTTATACGGTCATTCTATTATCAATTTACCCTTAAGAGTGAATTAATACAAAATACGTCTATACTTGGAAAATGCTTTCCCATTTAACATGAGAAAACTATTGATCAATAGTTTTAATAAATACGTCGTAACAAATCAGTGTTGAGTATTTTACATGTACAACAAAACAGTTTTGTATTTTTCGTTATTTGTTTAGTATTCTTAATAGTTCTGTTGCTTATCCTTTTGAATCGACTTCAAAAAAGAAGGAGGTTTCTCAATTCGACCATATTATATATATATATATATATATATATATATAGATAGGATATAAAGGATCCCAAGGGTGGTACCATGATAAGGAAACCCGGATCTGATGATAGTATCCCAGACAAATCGAGGGCAATCCTCAAATGTTATAGGTGTTGACAATGTTTTTAATTTCCTGTTTGAAGTCGGTTTTTTTTGTTCAAAATTATTAGTATTGTGGTGGAACAGGTTTTAAATACACTCAAAACTCCTGTTAATGCCTATATTAACAATTGATTGTCGAAGTAGTCATAGAGAATGTAGTAACATACTCTACGAATACGAACATATTGTAGCCAAAATTATCAGACGAAATGATCTGATCCGATATCACAGAGACTAATATGTAATAATATATATATATATATATATTATTACATATTAGTAAACAAATATTATATATATATATAACTTTTGTTTTAAATTAAAATTTGGTTTGAAACTTTTTACAACTGCCTCTTTTGTCTCTGCGTCGCCCATAGGTTGACTGGTACAGAATGCCTTAGGCATTAAGTCCGCCTATACACAATACTAATTTTTTTTGTGTAAAAGTTTAAATAAATAAATAAAATAAATAAAATAATGGCTGGTTTGCCATTTTGCACAAATAATCAATACACGACGATCGAAACGTACGAATCTTATGCAAATCCTTTTTTTATTTTGTGTAAAAACTTTAAGCGGCCAAAGAATTTTGAAGGAGAGAGTGGCATTTAGGGCGTCCCACCGTTTCCAGGTGGCGATCTAAAGTTCCACATTTACAACATGTGCGGGGCGGAAACTGGTCTGGGCTTGGAACGGGCGCGCTTCTACGCAGCCCAGGTGGCCTGCGGGTTAGAGCATCTGCACAAGATGGGCATCGTCTACAGGTTGGTTCGTTTTTCGTTTGACCAAGGCAAATCAGGGACAGTTATAAGCGGACCTATTCTTACTTTGGAAGTGACAGGGCCTAATCCTTAAGCAATGGATGATCGAACTTCGACGAATGGTCTGTGAGCTTTGTGACTGGTTTTAATACCGGAAAATCAGGCTATCGTACCTGAATAGACTGTGGCACTTATGTAACTTTCGACTTGACAGAGGCAAAGTGGAGATGGATGATCGAAGCTAGACAAATAGACTGCGAACTTTTGTAACTTAGGTTTTAAAGAGGCAAATTAGAGACAGATGATAGAACCCCGAGAAATAGAATGTTAACTTTTGTAACTTAAGCTTCGAAAGAGGCAAAGCAATGAATTCAGTGAGCGACTTTCAAATTGACAGAGTCAAAGCGGAGACGGATGTACTGTAACTTTTTGCCTTGTTAGAGGCAAAGTGGGGATGGATGATCGAAGCTCGCATTAAACGCGAACTTTTGCGACATAGGAGACGACAGACAACCGCCTGTAGTCCCGAATGAATGTTAATATAGGATGGGCACCCCGTTCTTCGCAGGGACTGCAAGCCCGAGAACATATTGCTCGACGACGCGGGCCACGTGCGCATCTCTGACCTGGGACTGGCCGTGGACGTCCCCGAGGGGGGGAGCGTCAGGGGGCGCGTGGGTACCGTCGGCTATATGGCCCCGGAGGTTAGTGCTTCGCCCCGCGCGGACCAAAGCCCCGGGCCTGCGAGATGTGTGTATTGATGTGATCAAATTTATTTGCTCTAACAAAGAGGGTAGTTATAAATAACGTGGAGAAATCGGGAATAAATAGCAAGTGTTTCATAAATTGTTTTTTTTTAGTGATTTAACAAAGATGGTAGTAATAAATATTGTGGAGAAATTGGGAATAATAAGCACATGTTTTTAAAACTCATCGATCGAACTGTTTTAGATTTTAAAATTGTTGTTTTTTTTTTAGTATATTATAAGTAATATTATAATAAATTTACCCGTTATTTTTATTAAACGGAACTAAGGCAAAGGCAGTAGTAGCATCTAGTGGTAGTTTAGGGATTACGGCAAAAGAATTAAAACGTACAATATTCGTGAAAATATGTTTACAACGACGGATAAAAGAAATTAACTCTGCCTCTCGTACGCATGATTTCTAAGAGTGCTGCAACATAAATTGTATTTAACTATATAATTGTGTTTTACTTCTGGGTTATCTATCTAAATATACAGAGATTTTTCTAAGTGTATCCATTTTTTTAGTTAATTTTCTAGACATGAATAATGCCATATAAAATATGATAAATATTTAAAATCACGCGTAATTAATTAATTACATTCATTTGAACTTATCTCAAAATGTGCGTGATTTATAGGCAACTCATTTATTTTACGCGCGATCATTCATAACCAACACGCACACAAGTTCGTTTCAAAAGTATACGACGCGTTTATGAATGACTACGGCATTGTCAACAAGTTCTCTTTTTTAGGGAATAGAATGGCAATTTTTTTGAATAAAAACAGTTTGTTTATATTTCAATAAACGATTATATTACAGAGTCTGAACCTCCTGTGAGAATTTGGGCACCTTTAGGAAAGCCTACATATACAGGGTGGCTTTTATTCGTTGATGGGTACCAATTTATGGTAAATTTTTATTTTTAGTGCTAAGCTTTGAAAAGCATCGCTGGGCGCTTGAAATTGAAACGTAAAACTAATTCATAAACTGGTGAATTTTTTTTCTTGATGATACCTGCCACATTATTTAGTGTAAGTTTTTAAAAACGCGAAATTATCTGTAGCATCACCTCACCACCCCTGTAAAAGTTACAAACATATACCCAGTTTTCCACCTTGTAGGTGATAGACAATGAGAGGTACACCTTCAGCCCCGACTGGTTCTCCTTCGGCTGTCTTCTGTACGAGATGATAGAAGGTCGGGCGCCGTTCAGAGCGAGGAAAGAGAAGGTCAAACGCGAGGAGGTAGACCGCAGGGTCAAGGTTAGTAGACCTCGTAACAAGACTTGGGTTAGGTAGTGCCAATAGAAATTTACTTCATTCAATCTGAAAAATCGGCTTACTTATAAATACTAACTGTTACTTTACAAGCAATATTTTTTATGCTGATCTCATTAGTCTAAACTGGTGACACGCTCGCTCGCTCGCCTCCTTTTCCGTACCAAAGACAGTAAGCCATATCGACTGCAGAGCAATAGAGCGATCTCTCTCTCTCTCCTTCTCTTCACTCATTTCGATACCCGTAAACGGTGGCTTTGCGAGCGAGCGAGTGAGCGATAGCGCGCCCCTCTCGCAGCACGAGCAGGAGAAGTATTCGAGTAAGTTCAGCGAGTGCGCGCGCGCGCTCTGCTCCGCGCTGCTGGCGAAGAGCGGCGGCTCGCGGCTGGGGGGAGGCGCGGGCCGCAGGGGCGCCGCGCTCGTCAAGGCGCACCGCTTCTTCGCGCGCCTCAACTGGGCGCGCCTCGAGGCGGGCCTGCTCGACGCGCCCTTCGTGCCCGACGTGAGTCTCCCCGCACCCGCTCCTCCTCCCGCCAGGTCCACTGCTTAGCGCATCTATTGTTATATCCTTTCCAGCATACAAAAAATATCGAAATTCGTTTTACAGCGATAATTCCTACTTTTTCTACAAATTGTTTAATCTAAAGTGCTGATTGACGTTAGTAAAATTAAAAACCAGTAAGTAAATGTAATGCATTTCATATTGCATAAAGATATTTGAAGGGGCGGTGCGTCCGATGAAGCTTTAATAGTCTCGGGACTGAAAGCGAAAACATCAGCTAATACAAGATACAAGGAGGGGCGATCTCCCGACAGCCGCACGCCGTGTACGCGAAGGACGTGCTGGACATCGAGCAGTTCTCGACGGTGAAGGGCGTGAACCTGGACGCGGCGGACGACACGTTCTACGGCAAGTTCAACACGGGCAGCGTCAGCATCCCGTGGCAGTGCGAGATGATCGACACCGGCTGCTTCGCGGAGCTCAACGTGTTCGCCAGGGGTGCGAATGAGATTCTCTTTTAACAGTTCTGCTACCTCTGCCCTTAACTGATTACCGTGGTATCGCGAGATTTACATGATCATCGTCCCTTAATTTTATAAACGTATTCTTAATGTGTGCTTAATGTGTGTATTCCTGTCACTGTACCTTTTATGGACGTTAATATTAATTAATTAGTTTAATATTCACTGAAATTCTATTGGCACCTCGAATCCGTAGTGCATTAAGGCTCGCACCAGATCTACCCTACCTGTTATCTGAACCACATAGTGTAATATCGCGATACCTCATGAGATATATTGAAATTTTCACTATCAATCTCAAATCTCAAATCCACGTCCTCCTATCGTTACTTCTATTATGTTAACAATTTATATTATTTAATAATTCTTTACTCTCAGGTGAGGACGGCAAGGAGTGTCGAACCACGGACCTCCAGCTGGAGTCGACAACCAACGTGCAAGAGGAAGAGACCGGTTGCTTTATGTTCGCGAGGCGGGTGAGTTCTGTAGTAAATAGCATTCGGTGTGCATTAAGAACATAAAATACGTGATAAACATCTAGTCTTAATTATAAAAAGGAAGGTTAATATAATCGTCACTTAAGGAAGCGTTATGTCTCCTACCTTCGATTCTGAGCGACGAGATTTTTTTCTCTTTCATTCAGAAATCCCTAAACGCCCTTAATTTATTTTATTGCTTTTTATTTATAACATATTATGTATGTAATAAATAAAAATGTATATGAAGTAAAACGAAAAGAAAAGAAAGAAAAAAACTGAGTTTCAAACGATTGTCACACAAAAGTTTTATTTTAATTTTAACTTTATCAATTTTAAAACTCCTAAATCGACAGGGTCAGGTTCAAATCTCGACCGTGTCGAAAAAATTTTGCGACAATCTATCGAGGTATTTCAAGTTTCTCGTTAAGTGCAGGGGCCAGAACTGACAATAAGAATTAACCTAATCTCTGATGTCGTCTTCCGCAGACTCTGTGCCCCCAGAAGAAGATCCCGCCGCGGCTGAGGCCGGTGCCGGTGCCCGAGCACCTGCTCTCGCCGCCCGCGCCCCCCCCCCCCCCCCCCCCTCCGCCCCCGCCGCGCCCACCAGCTGACCGCGCCCCCGCGCCGCCCCGCCCCCCGCCGCGTGCTGACGCCGGCCCGCATCTCGCGGATCTCGGGCAGCGGATCCCGCGGTACGGATCTCGCGGATCTCGCGTGACGGATCTCGCGGATCTCGCTGCGCGGAACCGGGTCCCGGATCCGTTCGCAGCGTCGCTCACAGTAACTAGTCCACGTCGGCAGTCAACTTTATTGGCAGCGGTCGTTTATCGCTCACGCACTAGTTCGCCCGTTCGCCCGTTCGCCGTGAACGCGGTAGCAGTTTCCGAAAGCCGCTCCGCAGCTCCCGCGAGCAACGTTTAGTCTTAGTCAATGCACACGTCGATTGGCACAACACTAGCCGCTCATCACGGTCTTATATATTTCTTTTAGTCAGAAACTGAGCCTGCGGTAGTACCGTAGCGATGCTTAGTGCCACGTCAATAACAGCTCAACTTACACAGCTGACTGATATTCAGTTTTTATTCCGTTTACATAGTTAATTCGGTCGATAGACGCGTAAAAGGAATATTGAATAGGTTAAAGTGGAATGGATAATTACGCACGAGTCACTTCGCACAAACCGGGGCAAACTGTTGTAACTCGTAAAAACTTTGTTGTGTTTTTTTTTTTAGAAGAAAATTAAAAATAAGCAATTCCGTCTTCTCGTTATCTATCCGAGTATACAGTAGTAATTTATGGGATGTAATCGTTTGATTGAAAGCAATAAAAAAAATTATCTAACTTCACGTTGCGAAATCGTTTCTTTGTATGCAGAGTAGGTTCGACGTAAACGTCAGTTTGACATTGACAATTTCGAAATTGAGGTTATTGTCCGATGTCGCAAAGAGTGTTTAAATGGTTTAGTGTATCGGCGGAAATAGAGGGAGTTATTGTAAAAGGTTTAATAGACGCGTTCGGCGATTTTTCGGCTTCGTTCTTCTTTTCAATTCGAAATCGCTTTAGGGGGACCGTTCCCGCTAGGCTCTTCGCGCTCTGAGGTGCGTCAATTAGCGCAAAATAGAAATTTTTTTTTGATCGAAAAAAATGCGTTCTTATAAGATTCCAATTGACTCAATCGCTCGGTGGCGCAGTTGTTGAGCTGTTGGCTTCGGCGCCGGGGGTCGTGGGTTCGATTCCCGCACGGAACAAGTATTTGTGTGAGCCACAGATAATTGTTCCCGATCTAGGTGTTGGTCCCGAGGAGGGTCGACGTCAGCCGGTCGTGAAAAATCTAGCCAAATCACTTACCACATGATTCACGTGTTTTCCCACCTAGGTGGGATGATGATGGCATAATGTTCCAATTGGAAAAGGGACGTATTTAATTTTAACCAAGCGCTAATCGACGTCTCAGAGTACGTTAACGTCGGCGGCTTGAGATATACGTAAAGGCATTCGCTGAGCGCACGGGTTAGGCCGTCTCTATTTGATAGTGTCTCGCTACGTTCTCGTAAAGTTTTTTGATAGAAAAAAAAATCGGATATTTTTCACTAGCAATACTGATAGACGGATTAAGCATTTATTTATTTTTATAATTTAACAATCCCACGATTCAATTACGTAAGTTGTAGGTGTTAATCGGACAGAAAAGAGCAATAATAGATACGCTGATAGATGTGGAAATGAATACTATAATCTCTTACAGTCTTACACCGTTCAGTTAGGGATGGGGAATTCAAGAAGTATATCGACATATCGATATTTATAAAAATATCAATATCGTATATATCGAAGAAAAAATATCGATGTATCGATGATGATCATAAAATTATCAATATCCGATATATTGAAGAGAAAATCGATATATCGATATTTTTTCGAATCCCTACGTTCAGCTAGACCGTGGCGTTGTACGGAGCAATTCGTCCACGGAAAAAGATTAAATATGGTTTATGGTTTATATTAAACTGACCTTTGGACTTTGTTATTGGTGCGTCATACGAGTCCCTAAATGCCACTTGTGGGTTTGTACCTCCGTTCTTTAGATTTGTACTCTCTAATATTTTCAAAAACTAAGGAGGATTTCGTCTGCGTTCGACTGTTTGTTTGTGATGTATGTATGGGTTGTGTGGGTTTTTTGTGCGCGCGATTATTCCCGGCCGGTCCCGTTCGCTGCCCGCCCGCCTGTCCATTCCAGAGTCGCACCGCCGTAGTTTAGCGCTAAAGTTAGATTTGTAACGGTCACGCAACGGTCCGCGCAGATTTGGTGACGAAGTCCCCCAGTTCAATTTGGTTTTGATGTGCCATCGTATTGGAAACTCGACCTATTCCAATTGGCATAGGGTCGAAAGTAGTTTGCGTTTGTCAACGGAGTATTTACTCCTACTGGACAATCGAGAACGTGTACAAACCGTTCTTAACCTCTTGGAATAAAGTTGAAAATCGTTCGCAAGTGATTATTTAATACATATGTAAGATATGATCCATATCTGGTTGGAATAAAGTCGAAAAGTCTTAGCATGTTCGAGAGCTTTCGAAGTCCCGTAAAGTGAATCCACTTTATCGCCTTATCTGCGCCGACCTTTAGTCGATTGGCTGGCAGCGAACGGACCGGCTTGGCAATTGGCCGGCATTTGCCATTGTGCGGACGGCGAGAGGTTTGCGGTGTATTTTGCTACATGCCGATGGGGTTGGCAGATAGATGTAAGTTTTAAATAACTGTTCACGTTATTTTAATTAAGGACAAAATTTAAGACACTCCAGTGTTTAACGAAAATTACGGGCAACGTTGATCACTTTATTGACATTTTCCGGCGGTATATTCTTAGAATATTTTGGGAATAAGAGATAATAACATCGTTTTAAACTGTTAAAGAAAATTACTCAATTCGTTTTCAACTTTATCTCTAACAATCGCGAAATGATCAATATAGCGAAGACGTTAAGAAATAGGCGTTTAAAAAGAAAATGTTTAATGTCGATGTGTAATTTGCCATTCAGATTGATAATAGCTATCTTACGCGCGATTTCTGAAACACTGATCATCGTAGAAGTCAACTAATCAGCTGTCAAATGGCTTTTAAAATGTTATTTGAGTTGCAAAAAGGATGTTTACTCTTTGAATTGATCATTTCGATTATTAAGAACGTCATTCTGATGATCAATGTATCAGAGACGGGGCGGTAGAATGATGAATTTTCCTTGCTATGTCAAATTACACTCCCAACTCCATATTGAGTTCGCAAGCCTTGAGTTATCCGCACACCAATGTCACCTGATGAGATGTAAACACTCGTTTGTGCGAAAGCCAAAAAGAAATGAATTTATTACGTTTGGAAAGAGGAAACGTTTGGATCACTTAATTGCTCCATAGTAGAATATTAAACTAACAAACTGTCAACTATCTTAACAAAAACTAAACTACTGACTAGCGAAGAAATTTAATCTTGATGATATTCCAAGTAAAGTATCAAGTCTACTAAGACGAAATATAATAAGAAGCCAATTAAGGATCCATAGAGAGCTTAGCTCAAGTTTTGATACAGAATGCTAACATATGGGGTTAATTTATTGGAGAGTATAACATATAAGAGTATAACCAAGGAAAGTTTTGCAGATTTAATCCCGATAAGAGTAGAGCGAAGAATTTGAATGGCAAAATGGTTTTTACGCACAAAAAGGCGCGCACAAACGAGTGTGCTTTAAAAAAAAACTGTACGATAGTCTGCGTTCAGAAATGGGAGAGTTTGTAATTAATGCACCGTGTCGCCGAATTTTTGTATGAATTTATTATATTATTGTTAAAATGATGCGCGACGTGAAATTTAACCGGCATTAGGTTTTGTCTTGCTTTTATATAATTTACTTTCTCCTTTTACAATTTACGCCAAATGTTACTTTGTTATGTAGTTTTTTAATTGGTTGAAATAGTTATGTATCTTCAATTTTTGTATTAACAATATCATTCATAGCTCTTGAAATGTACAAATAATCTTACAGTTGTTGGATTTTTTTATTAGTTGTAATTTTGTTAAGTAGCATGTATGTATATTTTTAAATAAACGTCAGTTAGATTATTGAAGTCTTAAAATAATATCGACGTTATATAACCTAGCCTCTGTATAGAGGAGGCCTTTGCCCAGCAGTGGGACATGTATAGGCTGTTACTTTACTTTTTTTATAAAACTAATTTCTGGAAACTGAAGTAAAAATAACTTCAAAGCTAAAGATCGTAGGAAGATGAATTGAACAAATTTGTTGCCTTTTCCTGTTTTTCCAATTAAGAAACACCTTTTTTTTATAACAAAGCGTTACAGCAAATAAGTTTTCTGACGGCGATATAGTCTGTGGCACCTAATCTTAACTTGTCTATGTACACAAACACGTTTGTATTACTCATGAAACACTTTACATTGAACGTAAAGTTAATCTTTAAAAAGGTTCAATTTCACGCCGCGCCATACCTGGTTCATACTCATTCGAATGTACCCGATGGAGTGTACGGAGATATAATTTTGTATTGATATTGTGAGGCGACGCCAGCGCCGCACTGTAGCGTGTAAACTTAGCTTTCTCGGTACCGTTAGTCGTTATTGCAGTATTTTGATGCAAATATTATTATTAAATTTTAATTAAGCGTATTCCTAAATAAAATCGACTCCAATTTCGTGTTTGTTTCCTTATCTCTCCCATTGACCCCTGAAACATCCCCCTGAAACATCAAAAATGTGTCGAAAAATCATAATGTGACACATAAGACATGTAGAATTTAATATAAAAAAAGCTTATAATTATTTAACCTCAAATACAAATCCACTAAGGTACCACATTGAATAAAATTATCGCTACCATACCTTAACAATGTGAACAAATGATTCTTGAACACATCCTTACATAGTACATGATACCACAGATAACTTTCAAATAACTTTATTCTTGTAAAAAACTACATTAACAGTTCAATATCAACAACTACATATAATACAATCTACACAAAAGATGGTACATCGAGTCATACTATGACTGTACAGTTTAATATACAGAGATAAGAATAAACAACTTGATGTTTTCTTCACTTCAATCATCCCTCAATTACGCACACTGCAAGTAAGATCCATATCCTTAAAAATATTACTTCACCATAAAATATTACATCAACAAATAAAGTCCCACAGCCTTGTAAAGATGTTTACAGAAAACATCAAGGCTTCTTCGCAGAGTTGTTCTATAGTTCTTCGGAAAACACTTTTCCTTGCAACATTTACCATTGGAAAGTATGTCGTTGTTGTGGATTCACATTAAAACATCATTTAATAATTGCAAAGGTGTTGGCATCCAGATCAGAAACATGTCTGTTAAATTTTCCAAACATAAATGCACTCATATGTTGAGCCACCGCTATATATTTCCTCATTCAACATAGTCTTCGGCAACACGTAAACAATCTCCTCTGAACTGTTTTCACGCCCTGGCCTTCTTCGCGGCGTATATCCTCTGGAAGAGGACGAACTTGCCGGGCTCTATCTGCCTGCCGCCTTGACCGTCCTGGGTCCAGGAGGGTGCGGAGTGGTCCCAGCTCCTCTCCTCCTCGGGCACCCTCAGCTTGAAGAGCAGCCGTGCCGCCAGCTCGGGCACCATCGGCTGCAGCAGCACGGCGCACACCCTCAGGGTCTCCATGGCCACGTGCAGCACGGCGTCCAGCCGCTCTCGCTCCTCGGGCCTGTAATTTGTGATGTGGGTAGATAGAAAATACAGTGTTATGTATCGCACCTTTACAATTTTAGTGAGCTATTTAAAAAAAGAAATAATCATTTGTGCACACATGAACTAATATGGTTATTGGGGGTGAGTGAAAGGGAGCGAAGTATACGTTATGAAGCTTTCTAAAATCGGGCTTTGTTTTAATAAGAGTCGAAAAATTAAAATTTGTAGAAAAAGTACGAAAAGATTGTCGCCGCTGTGGGAATCGAACCCACGTCTTCGGCATTCGCAGCCTGACGCTCTAGCCACTGAGCTAAACGGCTGATTGCCACACCGGCGACTATATCGTTTTTTTTAGCATTTAAAGCAATGCTTGGCTTGCTTTTTTCTACAAATTTTAATGTTCAATCTAAGTGCAGAGATTAGCACTATAAATAATTTAAATTTCTAAGAGTCGAAAAAGGTAGTCGTTGTAGGTCCTTTCTTAACAAAGTCAAAATCATGATTTTCTTAATTAGGTCGCTTTAATTCTAAAGTAGGTACTGCCGGGCGCGGCGTATTGATTCCGTGCATTAAACATGTCTAACGTTACAATTATATTTCACTTTAACCGACTTTAAAAGGAGGAGGTTCTATGTTCGACTGTATGTATTTTTTTATATTAGTGTATTATTTTTTTTTTATTTAATTTATTCAATGTTAAATTCCCGAATAGTATTAAACATCAAATTATGTATTTTATTAAGGAGTAAGGCTTTATTTATTTATGTATTTATACTAATACCGCACCTGTCCTTCAGCAGCCAGGGTCTGCTGCTCTCGAAGAACTGGTTGGCCAGACGCAACGTCCGCATCGCCTCGTCTGCCACCTTGTGGAACTGACAGTCAGAGTAGAGGGCGTGGCAGGCGTCTGAGGGGGAATTGTCGAGTTTGAGTTCTTCTTTATCGTTATAAAATAAAGTGATTTATTTAAATAAATAATAATAATAATAAATATTTAGAACACATTTGTACACAACATTTTCTAGTCCCAAACTACGCAAAGCTTGTACTATGGGTACTAGAAAGCTGATAAACATACTTAAACATACTTTTCTTTTGTTAATAAATTCATATATAAACACCCAGACACTAGAAAAACACCATGTTCATCAGACAATATTTTTCCAGTAGTGGGGATCGAAACCACACTCTCTGGCGCAGGAGGCAGGTACACTACCCACTACGCCATTCGGGTCGTCAATCCATACTAATATTATAAATGCGAAAGTAACTGTTTGTCTGTCTGTCTCGCTTTCACTCCAAAACTACTCAACCGATTTAAATGAAATTTGGTACACAGGTAGTCTAGAGACTGAGAAAGGACATAGGCTATTCTTTAATTGGAAAAAAGTGTTGTTAAGAGCTTCAACGCGAGCGAAGCCGCGGGCGAAAAACTAGTATGATAGTATGAAATAGTCATTAGTGTTTTTGCTCAAGCCCTTTTTTTTTTTTTTTTTTGTTGACGTGGGGGAAATGCCTACGCATAGCCGTCCTCGCGGGGGCAAGAGCGGCCTATGTCGGACTCGCATCGACTAAAACCCCCACGATGTTACACGTAGGCGCATATCGGCAGGCTCACGGGAACACTTTCGCACACTTCCGCGACCCTGCCAGCGCTGGCCGCCTTGGCAGCCCCTCACGGGGAGCAACTCCCCTTAAGGTACTCCTCCAGGTAAGGCGCGCTGGAACATTCAGCGCGCCTTCCTACTCGGCCCCATTTTCACGGCCAACGAACTCCCCCGAGTTCGTCGACCGGGGCCATGGGAGCCAGGAGAGCCAGTGCTAATAAGCAGCAAGCCTCCCAGCCCCCAGCGGCAGACCTGGTCTGTGGCTCCGCCGCTCACCACGTTTTGGCCGCGGAGGATAGGGAGAACGGCGCACCGCAATACCGACACTCCTCTCCCTCCGCGGCCCCACCACAGCTGCATCAGCGGTGCAGCCCCGCCGAGTCGCGGAAGATAGGGAGCACGGCCAACGCAATACCGAGACTCCTCTTCCCCCGCGACTCCTCCTCGGTAGCAGAAGACAGAGAAAGTGGCTCCACCTCTACCACCCTCGACCTGTCCCCTGCACCCTCCAGCACGCATCCAGAGTAGGCTCATTGAGCCCACTCGGAGCGGCCCTCTCGGGCCGGCCTTGCACCACAGGCCGGCCCAGTGTGGGTTCCTCTTACTTCGCCGTGGGTGACCAAGCCACGGCTACTAAGCCCCTCCGCCATGTCAAGGCGGGAACCCGGTCGGAGGGGTTTTGCTCAAGCCCTGGGCCAACCGCTTCCACTCCCAGAGATTGTAAAATGAATACAAACAGCTTTGACTAAAGTCCAAGAATGCTTTCGGAATAGACAAGAAAAAAGAATTCTTATACTGTGGTAAGGCCACGTAAGTCTTCGATGGTGCACAAATGGGCAGGTCTATCCGAGTACCACGAATTCACAGAAGATCGGCGTGAAGTGGATGTGTGATACTTCTGCGTTTCGTCTGGTGCGTGAGGTAGCCGGGGTCCACTTCACTAAAAAGTGGCAACGCATTTGCAATCCTATTGGTTTTACAAATATTCATGAGCGGCGGTTATCACTTAACATCAGATGTACCGCCAGCTCGGTTGCCTTCTTCTTTACTTAAAAAAAAAGTATTGTTAAATATTATGCGTTCTAATACAATATGGAATGTTATTTTTTAATTTAAAATAATATACTAAAGTAACACTCAAATAACAGATAAATTAATAATTACATAATATATTATAGGCTAGTTCAACATATCATTACCTTATTATGTTTGCGGCGACAAAGGGAAGGAAACACAAGCGTTTTCAAAAAATGGCTCACTATCATAAGGTGGACGTTATTGGCAGTCACTCCTGGGCTTGAGCTCACCGGGTAACCTTTCCAGCTGGTCCAGCAGCTGGTGGGCCGGCGCCGCGCCGCGCATCAGCGCCAGCTGCCGCCGCGGAAGCGCCGGCATCCGCTGGCCAGGGTTCAGCGCCGCGCCGCAGCAGCGGCTGACCAGGTTGCCCAGGGTGTCGGCCAGCTCAGCGTTGGCGATGTTCACCAGCTTCGTCTCGCTGTAGTCTGCACGGACAGTATACTATTCAGCATGTATACTATTTAATTGTACAGCAATTGCACATAATAGCCTTCACTCTTGCAAGAGTGGGCAACTCCTGGTATTTACCCGGACGTAAGTATCGCAACCTTATATGAGACCGGAGTGACGTAGAAGTATTTAGTATCTAACTTTCGCGTTTCGTTTAGCAAGCGGAGTAGGGGGCCCATTTTATTATAAGGTGGCAACGTATCTGCAACCCGGGTGTTGCAAATGTCGGCAAAAGGGCGACAACGTGTCAAATTTGGAAGAAAATATGTTAAGTTGCATTGAAAAAGCATATGCCGTAATGTTAAAATCATATGAATGTCGAGTTTGCAAGATGTGCGTTTTATCTTAGGCACTACATGCACGTTTCGGATTAGGAGAGCAACGACCATGTCGCATATCAGATTAGTCGCAACGACCATGTCGCGTCTCAGATTAGTCGTTAGGACTATGTCACGTTTCAGATTAGGAACAAGGACCATGTCGCATGCCAGATTAGAAGCAAAAACTCTTTCGCGTCTCAGATTACTCGCAACGACCATGTCGCGTCTCAGATTAGTCGTTAGGACTATGTCACGTTTCAGATTAAGAGCAAGGACTATGTCGCCTGTCAGATTAGACGCAACACCCATGACGCGTGTCAGGTTACGCGCAAACAACATGTCGCGTGTGAGATTAGGCGCGACGACCATGTCCGATGTCAGATTCAAAGAGGCCCCCTCACTGGCGTCGTCGAGCAGCGTGGCCTCGCGCAGCAGCAGGTAGCGCAGCGCGTGGCTCGGCGCGGGCGCCTCCCTGGGCGCGGCCACGTTGGCCCTGGACTTGGACATCTTGGCGCCGCCCGCCGTCCAGTGCGCGTGGCAGAGCAGCCGCCGCGGCGGGTGGAGCCCGCCCGCCATCACCAGCGCCGGCCAGTACACGCCGTGGAACCTGCAACGGCGGGGGTCGCTATGTCCGCGCAGGGTCAATATCGCGTCGCAAAAGTTGCGGTCCTCGGTGACGCGGGTCGCGGGTTCGATTCCCGCATGAGGCATTTATTTGTGTTTATTCGCGTGATATTTGTGTTTGTAAAACGTCCTTACAACACGGTAGTGCTATCCTAAAGTAAGGGCAATGTTTTTTTAATAAAATATAAAAAAAATAAAAAGATACGGTTTACTTCACTAAATAGTTTACTTAAGTAAAATTTACTCCATTGAATAAAGGAAAAAAAGTTAAACACAAAAATACCTTATTTTGGTATTTAACTTATTATGACGTCGAAAAACGGTTCGAACAAACCTTACTTCGAATAGAAAAATTTTGATTTTGTAACCCTATATTAAGAATAATCTCCCGACTTAATCCAGGTTACCTGGAGACTGACTAGTACTGGTTTGGTAACTTCTTAACCTAAGCTACATAGAGAATTACCAAGCCAGCAATCCGCTGACCTCGCTAGTTTGGCAAGTTAAAAGAGCAGTGAAGAGTGTCACCAACTTGAGTATGTCCTTGCCGACCACCTGGACATCCGGGGGCCAGGGTCTGCCGAGGGCCTTCATGGCCTCCTCGTCCGGGAACCCGGCCACCGTCAGGTAGTTGACCAGCGCGTCCAGCCACACGTACACGCTCTGCTCCTCGTCACCGGGAACCTGCAATAAATCATTTATTCATCAAAATAAGAAATGTACATTTCATCAAAAGTAATTTTTTAAATATACCACCGTTTCCTAATGAGATTCTTCTAACGGAAAAGAAACAGGCGTAAGAAACTCAACTCTGAAACAATTACATTGTTATACAGTACATATTTTTTTTAGAAATCCCTTTCACTAGTCCCACTAACTCTAATGCACTGTGGGATAACATATTTTTTTTCTTCCTTTTAAGAAAAGTTGCTTCAGGATAACATTATCTTGTGTTCTAAGGGCGTTTTACAAACACGAGTATCACGTGGACAAATATTTGTCCCGTGTTTGAATCGAACCCGCGACCCCCGACGCCTAGGCCTATAACCTGGCAACTGCGACACTGAAAATGGTTTGGAGGCGTTTTCAATATGCTAATAATATACATTCATAGTCTAGACTTGGCTGTTCGGAGCAAGAACAGCCAAGTCTAGAATATAACCCACGACCGGGAATAAAACCCACGACCCTCGAAGTTATACGAAATCGATGGAAGGCGTTTCATATTTGATTTTGACTTCGATTCCGCATCAAACTTATGATGATCATTCAGACATCATTGTTGGTGATATGTATGGCAAATTCCGCCAAAAGTAAAGTAAAGTAATAGTCTATCCATTTGCCAATGCTAGGTACAGGCCTTTTTACAGAGGGTATCAGGGCATAGTCCACCACGCGACCCCACTGCGGATTGCCGGACTTCACATACAGTGATTACCGCTGAACACGTGATTATACATCACTTAAAATTATATATACATATACATATACAATGAATACACTTTTATTGTCCACCACAAATAACAATATACATAAAAGTAACAATAGAACAACAAATTTATGCAATGTACAATTTGGCGGCCTTATCGCTTCATAGCGATCTCTTCCAGGCAACCAATGGCTTAAAGGAAACGTATACTACGTAGGTGGTGCAATAGAAATTATATGTATCTGCTTTAATAAAATTATTAAAGCAGATACATACATTTATATATACATATCCATATATACACAAAAATACATATATATACTATATACAAATACTATACATATATATACATACACACATATATACTAGACCTCAAACATGAATAGTATTTAATCCCAATATTACTCAGGTGATTGTGACAGGTAGTGCTCTCTTACTAACTTCTTAAAAGTGCCAATAGATTGCGCCTCACGTAAAACTAAAGGCAAGGAATTCCAGAGCTTAATAGCCTGCACGGTAAAAGATTTTTCATAAAACGACGTTTTGTAATTTGGCACCCTTAAAATGAGCTTCTTCGAAGAACGTACATCTTCCCCTGGAAGCCCTACAAACTCAAATTTCTCCTTTAGATATGGTGGAGTACAACCATGAAACAAGACACCATACAAAACAGAAAGAATATGTAAATTTCGGCGAAATCGGATGGGTAACCACTTGAGACGTTTACGAAATTGAGAAACATGGTCATATTTACGCAACCCAAATATGAACCGAATGCTAGTATTTTGGAGTCTCTCAAGTTTATTTAATTGTTCTTCAGTTATATCTACATAGCTAGCGTCAGCATAATCGAGAATCGGAAGAAGAAGAGTCTGTGCAAGCATAATTTTTGTTGGAATGGGGAGAATTGATCGAAGGCGACGCATAGATCTGAGAGCTACAAAAGTTCTCCTACTAACTTCATTTAAATGGCGTGTCCAGCTTAAGGTACTGTCGAGATAAATGCCTAAGTTTTTGACATAGTCACAGTATGGGATTATCACTCCATTGATTTTAATTGGCGGTAATGATAACCAGTCAATTCTTGATTTGAAGGACCGGCTGCCAACAATTATTGCCTTTGATTTATTGGGATTGATAATGAGGCCATGTGATTTACTCCACTCATGTATGTGATTTAAGTCATTGTTCATAACGGCGATAGCTACTGGCAGATTCTCAAGTGTTGTCTGGGTGTAAATCTGGATATCATCCGCATACATATGGTAGAGAGAAGAAATTTTTTGAGTGATTGAATTAATGAAAATAGAAAAAAGTAAAGGTGACAGCACGCCGCCTTGTGGTACGCCAGCAGTAGTATCACACCAAGATGAAAGTGTTTCATCAACGCGAATACGCTGCCGACGTCCATTGAGATAACTTTGAAACCAGTCAATTACTGATGGTGATAAATTAAGTGAACCCAGCTGACTCAACATAATATCCAAATCAACTGTATTAAAAGCATTGCTGAAGTCCAACAAGGTCATAACTGTGAGCTGTTTATTGTCCATACCCAAACGAATGTCATCGGTAACTTTAATTAGGGCAGTAACCGTACTATGACCAGGACGGAAACCGGATTGTAAGGGATTGAACAAATTATGAGTGTTAAGAAAAAGGTTCAACTGTTGGTAAATGAGCTTTTCAAGTACTTTGGACAAGAAAGGTAAGATCGAAATTGGACGAAAATCGGAATAATTATCGGGATTAGGTTTTTTAGGGAGAGGTATAATATGAGCAGTTTTCCAAGCATCGGGAAATTTAGAATAAGAGACACATTCATTTAATATATAAGTGATAACAGGAGTGATAATATCAAGGAGAGGTATAATCATCTTACGGCTAATGTCATCACTACCGACAGCATTCGAAGATATGGACAATATGCTTTTCTTAACATCACATACAGTAAACTGACTAAAAACAAACGGAGGATAATTAGGAGTCGGAGTTGCAGAGAAAGATTGAAGAGTTTTAGCTTTGAGTTCATTATCAAAATTGCTAGAAGGTGTAGAAAAGTGTTGATTCAAAAGTTCAACATTAATATTTGAAGGTGTTGAATGATTTGATTTTTTACCAACTCCGATCGTTTCCAGAAACTTCCACACACTGGATGAGTCGCCGTTCTCGACTAATGTATGGATATGGCGTCGCTGTGCATCTCTAACTAATGTATTACAGCGATTCCTGATTTTGGCATATTTTCTTTGATTCTCCTCCGTTCTGTTTCTCTTAAGTTTGGACAACGCTACATTTTTCTTTAAAATTTGCTTTTTTTTTTAGGTCATCAGAGAGCCAAGGAGCAGGCAGGTGTTTAATCTTAACATAATGTAATGGCGCATGTACATCAAAAAGTTGAGTCAGTAAGGAACAAAAAAGTTCGACTTTTGAATTAATGCATGGTGCACTCTCTATCACTGACCAATCAATTTTACGAGCGTCATCACAGAGCCGGTCAATATCCATTCCTCCAAAATTACGTCGCAGAAGTATTTTAGGTTTCATTTTAGGAGGGCGTAGTTTATACGAAAGAAAGATAAGATCATGGTAAGAGAATGCATCGGCAGGGTACTGACCGTGCTTGTAAACTAGATTTGGAGAAGAAACTATAATCAAGTCTAGAAGAGAAGGTGTACAGTTTGGAAAGTTATGGGTAGCCGAAAGGGGTAGAATATGCATATTACATGCTTCAACGATAGAATTGAGTTTATTCGCCCGATTGTCGCCTTTAAGTAAACAAGTATTAAAATCCCCCATTAAAATAGTATGACTGTAGTTAGGGATTAGTGACTCCAAAAGTGACTCGAGAGAAGAAAAATAATTTAGTGAGAGGGATGGGCTATAAAAAACTCCAAGTAAGATTTTATTTTGGGACGAAGATATCTCTATTAGTAAATGCTCAGCAGAGTCAGCAGGTGGCGGATGACATAACGAACTTACAATTTTAAAAGGAATGTGGGATTTAAGATAGATCGCCACACCACCACCACCACCCCTGTCAGTGCGGTCATTTCGAATAAGATGGAACCCAGGCAAGGAGTAGCAGACAGAAGGCAGACAGGGCTTTAACCACGATTCAGAAATGAATATGGCGTGAACGTTTTGGGATTCAAATGACGCTAGCATGTCAGGATAATGAGCCGGAATACTTTGTGCGTTTATGTGAACAGCATTAAAATTTTTCGAACAGTCTGAGAAACAAGTATTTAGGGCAACATTGAGTGGAAGGGAAGTTGATGTCGTACTGTGAAAACTTGAGTCACTAGGTGTCTCATCACGCGAGGACAATGACATGAACAAATCACTATCGATACTGATGTTTGAGGATAACATAAATACTATAATTAATAATATATAAAAATAGATATGTTATAATATATAGAAGCTAATATATAAATGTATAATATGCAAAACTTACTATACCCGCTATTTATAACCACCAGCACCATGAAAGAGAAAGCGTACAACAACAACTTAAGATTGCCTAAAAGTGAAAAAAATAAAAAAAAAAAAATAAAAAAGAAATTACATATTACAATTAAAAAAACTTAAATTCTACTTTGTTTAAATATATAGCAAGGTTTCAGTTTGTAACATATTCACTTGCAGTCAGTATTTTCATAGACAAGTCCACGGACTAACAAACGCTTAATCTATGAATACTTTACTACATTGGCAACAATGGTAGCTGTCAGAGAATTGATATCATTGCAAGTGTGAACTGTCAAAAGTAGTTGCAAAACAAACAAAATTACTATTACATACCTGCATCTTAATATTTGTAAATTATAACATACACAATAGTACTTACAATAGAAGTTTTGTCTTGACAATAAGTGCAAGAATTATACTATATAACAGAACCAAGCCAACAAGAATCCAATATAATATCCAAAATAATAAAATAATCCAAAATAACAACCTCTCAACACACGTAAAATTATTTTTTAATCGGCTTCCGAACCCTGCCTGTGATGGAGGGCTTAGGGGCTGAGGGTGCCGCCACTACCGTCGCCGCAGTTACTGCAGTTGAAGTTGCTGAGGAACTTCCAGCTTCATCAGGAATGACATTTACCTCCGCGACGGAGACCACTCGATGTCGGGTGCCATCGCGTCCAAGAATGACAATAGACCCATCACGTGTCCAACACCGTGACACACCAAAGCGATTCCGAGCTGCAACAAATGCTTCATGGCGGGCCTTGGTCATGAACTCAGATAGCGTAACGCCGCTACCTTTCAGCTTAGTCTTAGAGAACCAGACTTTGTCACGTAGATCTTGATCTCGAAATTTTACCAACAATGCACGAGGTTTATCACTCTTAGTAGGCCCCAAGCGGTGACATTTGGAAAAGCAGCCTATAGTTATATCAGGCATATTGAGCCGCTCAGACAGAACCTTACTTATGCACTGAAGTGGATTTTCATCGCGGACTTCTGGCACCCCATGGAGAAGCAACATCTTCCTCCGCATCCTTACCTCCATTTCGTCTTGCTGCCTGGAGAGAAGCTGGAGTTGCAGCTGCAGATTCTCTAGTGCCGACAGAACAAAAGTTCTAAATGCACTAAATTGTGCATTAATATTGGAAGAAGGACTTGCTGCAGGAATGGATGTTCTAACTTCCTTCTGGAACTCATCCATACGTGATGTGAAGTTTGCTGTTAGTTCCTTAATTGATTTCTTGAGCAAATCCATAATAAACGTTGTTTAGAAGTTAGGCAAAGGTCAATAGTGTTTTATCAGAATTAAGTTTTAAGTTGTACAGTGTAAAACAAATTATTAAAAAAGAAGGCTGGTGGTTCACTGTAATCACAGGTACATTTTTACTCCTTATTTATAGATATTTACTATAAAAACTAAAAATAAAAGAGGAACAGCTTTTAATATGTCTATACTTTTGAGCGCCTACCCACCAAAAAAAAGTACAATTATACATATACGGGATCAATATATACAAATATATACATATACAATTATATATATACGGGATCTGGACCCGGGTTGCTCGAGTATATTGAATTGCAAGCGAGCGCCCGGACACTGAGCCATGACGGCTTCTGCAGCGTGCATTTACGCTGGGGCAGTTCTGCTCACCCGAATCGCCCAGGGGACCCTGGAGGCTGGCCGGCTGACCGAGAGGTCGGGGAGGTAGCCGCGCTCCAGCGACGCCCTCAGCTGCTGCTGGTACTTCGCGGGGCGGATAACCCCATCTGGAATACGCCCACCGGTCTATTAGACCGGTCTACTTGCGTGTGGCGACGTAAGGATTGTCTAGACACATCTTCCAGAGCGGAATCGAGGGTTATTCAAGGGATGCAGGGTGTACTTACCGAATGAAACTTGAAGAACGAACATTTTTATGTATCAGTGAGATAAATCTTTAATGTTTACGGAATATTTGGGGAAGATGGAGTTACTTAGGCATGGGATGGGTGTGTACCCTTAGTAATTAATGTAAAGAACTTTTTAACTATGGTACTACCAGTAGGGGTCAACATCTTCGACTGTTGCACGAATGGGCAGGTCCGTCCGGGTAAGTACCACGACCTCACAGAAGACCGGCGTCAAGTGGAAGTGTTATACTGCGTTTCGTCTTTTTTTTATGTGAAAAGTTGCCAGGCGGTTCACCTGGTGTTAAGTGAACACCGCCGCCCATGGACATCTGCTACACCCGAGGGTTATAGATGCGTGGACAACCTTTTGAAAATTGGGCTCCGGCTACCTCACTCACCAGACCTAATCCGTCCGTCAGGTCACTTAACATCAGGTGAACCGAAAGACCGCTAGACTAAAAGAAAGAAGAAGAAGAAAAAAAGAAGAAACTTAAGAGAAAATTTTAGTTACTTAACTAGAGGATACGCAGATGCACGATAAACAGTTCTATGCCAAGCCGGTTTTCTATATGACCGTGGCACGTCACCAGGCAAATCGTGCAACATCAGAAGCTGCCACGTGGCCAACCACGGTTACCGCAAATCTGCCCATTCGTGCAACATCAGAAGCTGCCACGTGGCCAACCACGGTTACCGCAAATCTGCCCATTCGTGCAACATCAGAAGCTGCCACGTGGCCAACCACGGTTACCGCAAATCTGCCCATTCGTGCAACAGCAGAAGCTGCCACGTGGCCAACCACGGTTACCGCAAATCTGCCCATTCGTGCAACAGCAGAAGCTGCCACGTGGCCAACCACGGTTACCCCAAAATGGACCAGAACTCACCGGTCTCCAGCCATTTGAGCAGGTGCGTTCTGAACTCGCTCAGTCTGAACATGTAGTTGGTCTCCTCTGTCCACTCAACTCGGTGCCCCGACTCTGTTGACACTTTAACCTGCAAGAGTTACTTGGTCACGCCACTCCGCTGTCCAGGGCTAATCGCGATCGATAACCGCCCTCAGAACGGCCCTTCTTTTGTTTTTTTTTTTTTTTTAACGGAATATTAGCCGATAAAATGTAAGTTTTAACTACATGCTCTGTCTCAAGATTTAAGGGACGCATACTTGTGAGCGCGCTTTAAATAAAAAAAAAACAGGTATAAATATACAATGGAATGTTTTAAAATTTCAATTAAGAATAAAAACCGAAATATTTTAATCTTTTTATTTTAAATATATTTCATTGTTCAAAAGTATCCAAACTTTAAATTTTTCGAACTTTTAAATATTAAATCTCACAACGATGGCATGTTGCCATTATATCATCAGTAGGGCCATTTAAAGAGGATCGCATAAAAAACTTGAGGTGCAGTAGTTTTCGGTACTCATGCGCCGATTCCTAGCCTAAAATACTATAGATTAATTGAATTTGTCAATACAAGTGCAAGAACAACTTCCATTAAGTTTTTGAGAAGGTATAGGTTACCTTGGTACCTTACCAACATTTTTTCATTTCATGTAATAATTTGGCAAACAAGCAGGCGTTTCATCTGATGTTAAGTGATTTTTTTTATGCGAAAATTTGCCAAACGAACAGACGGGTCACCTGGTGTTAAGTAAATACCGCCGCCCATGGACATCTGATACACCCGAGGGTTACGGATGCGTTGACCTTTTGAAAATTGGACTCCGGCTATCTCACTCACCAGACGAAATGCGAAAGTATTTGTCATACTTCCACTTTACGCTGGTCTTCTGTGAGGTCGTGGTACTTACCCGGACGGGCCTGCCCATTCGTGCAACACGCAAGGCCGCTGCGTGGCCCTACCATCGTAAAATGACGATGGCGGCACATGATTACGGCACCCATGAACATCTACAACACGTTGGAGATGCGTTGCCAAACATTAAAAGTGGTCCCCGGCCGCCTTACTCAACAGATGACACTCAAAAGAATAAAACTTCCCCGAAAGAGCCCTACTTATTGTGGAGCAACCGAAAACTAGTTTAGTAACCAGTCTACATGAGCAGTGGCTATGACAACAGCCTGGTTTAGGCCCACCGACCTTCTCGCCGTCCAGAACTTCATCCCTCAGATGAGTCTCTGGGACAAAAGCCTCGTCGTTGACGCTGTACCAGCCCGAGTAATTCGCCTTGTATATGTAGTCGCGATCCATGAGACGCTTCTGAAATGTCACTTGCATACAAAACCAAAGCACTCAATGATTTTATTGTTTTTTTTATTTTACAAATACAAACTTCACATGAACAAACACCCAGATGAGAAACAACTATCTGTAAGCCACACAAATAGTTGTCACATGCAGGAATCAAAACCACGACTTTATTACTACTTTCCTAATCACTTCAGAATTCAATTGGCATTTGGTGAAGAAGGCCCATGTAACAGCCATGTATATTAGCGGTATTAACTTGGAAACAGATTAAATGTACATATTTATAACATCTGTTTTCTCATTTATCGAAATTCAAAAAGTTTAAGTATAACCAAGTATGAACCTGTTCACTTCGTAAAAATCAACTTAAATATTCTGACGAAAGTTCGGTTTGGTACATTTTGGATCGAATGTTCGGCCGTATATTCACTTATGTTTGGAGCACCTCTTATTCAAAACTTTGAGAAATTTACTTTCATACCAGCAACATGGAGCAAACTGCTGACAGAAATAAGAACTAAAACAATTAAGCAAAAGTTGTTTGTACTTTCAAAAATAAAAATTTTAACATTTAAATTAAAATATTAATGTGTAATACTGCTTTTCACATCAGTTAGCCACCCACCAGGCAATAATTATTTACATTTTTATATGATTTACCTGTCAGTGATGCCGATCCATAAGATTTTTATACTACTAGACATTGCTCAATGTGCATAAATTTTTCACTTGACTTAAAATATATATACATAAAAACATACCCAAAAGTGACAAACGGCAGTTTTATGCCTTTCCTCTGTTGTTCGTATAAAGTCTGTATATTCAATATCAAAGTCTTTAAACAGTTCTCTATATTCATTAGAAACTTTGGCACAATACTCAGGTAATGGAACTTTCTCTTTGGCTGCTGCTTGCTGTATTTTAGTTCCATGTTCATCTGTGCCTGAAAGTAGACAAAAGTATAATTTTATATCTATAAACCTGTCTACAATTAACTATTTTGAGTACCTATAATTTTAATATTATTGCATCAGGAAGTTTTCAGTTATGTTGTAATGTCCCTATTATTTTTGTAATCCCAATTTGTTTAAGTGGGGTAAACCCGGACAATTAATGCTGCATATTCCACAAGAGTTATAAAGTCCTATGTACCATGGGTAACCATATCACACAAATAACACTGGGCATCAATTTGAATAAGACTATTTGAAAACTTAAAGTGATCTTTGCTCTTCAACGACAAAAGCACTAAAAAAAGAAATGTTTACCAGTGCTAAATATGACTTGACAATCAGGGTTTGTTAGTTTCTCAAAACGCTGTATTGCATCTGCCACCAAGGCTGTGTACAGGTGTCCAATATGTGGTGCTGTAAAAGAATATAGTTCCAGAAAACAGGACAGAATATTTGGTACACTTCTCAACAAAGAAACTTAGACTATGTAAAAGTAAAAAAAATATTTAACTTTATTGTTTAACCAGTATTGAAACATTATAAAATATATGTAATAAAATAACTTTTCATGGTTTATTATTAATGTTATACAGCGTGTCATTACCATCGCGACAAAAATGAACACACGTCTAACGCTACTTGCCAATAATCATAAAAAAATATTAACGTTAAACAAAATCCATAATTAAAAAAAAAATATTTTTCAAACAAACTAATTAAGTAAAAAAGAAACAAAATTTGTAACATCCTATACAACTCGCGCCGCAACGTCGCATTACAAGCCTCTCCTTCTAACAGTATGTTTTGTCTCATTCAACCCATTCATATGCTTTGTGACCTTTACAAATGAACTTTACGTTACAGTTTTATACGTAAGGGTGTTCTTAAATTGTTTGTTTTTGAAAAATTTATATCTCGGTAAATATTGATGTTTGAAGAATGTTAATGTTTAATACAATTTTAAAAAGTTATCCTCTATATGTGTGTTCATTTATTGTCGCGGTGGTAACGACACGCTGTATACATTAATAACATAACCTACAATTATTGATCGCGACGACAATATACAAATAACTTTCAATAGAAAACATAGTTAATTGTAAAATGTGCAATATTTTACCGGCATTAACGTAAAAGATTGGCGTTGTAATATAAAACGGTCTTTTCTGCACCACAGAAGACAGTAATCGTAGAGTTAGTCTCATTTTCGACGTTTTATAACTTTGATATTTAATAAAACTTGAGCTAGTTTCATATAGTACCTAATTACCTATACCACATAAATGCTTCTAACTTCTAATAAACAAAATCTTTTTCTTTTATAATTCCAAGAGTCAAAACTTAGATCTCGGATACAGAAAAAGCGTAAATTATATAAACACAAGTCTAAAAATCAAACTGAACACTCAAACGTCATTTTGACATTAGTATATAGATATGACATAACTGTAATGCTGTAGTACATATCAACTAGGCATGTGTGGTGTGTCCAATATGTCAAAACGTAAATAAAAACTGGTACGCGGTCGTTATGAATGCTGGACCACCTCTATCGTTTTACCTATAACAACAAGGTGGGCGCCGCTAACGCAGCAATCTAGAATCTCGGACTTGTTTTTAAATAATCTAACATAGTAAGATAAGAAATGCCCATGTAAGGAACTATTGTAAGTTTGTATTAAACTCTCCTACAGTTAACTCAACTAGTTTTATTTTTATGAAAATCTCTGGTGCTAGCCCCAAAGTTAAGTTGGTACATATAATTTTGTATCGATATATAAAATATTGTTGTATTGTTGGGAGGCTCGCCACTCGAAGTTGTTGATAGCTATGTCTATCTGGGACAAATGGTCCAACAAGGCAAATCCAACTTCGAGAAGGAGGTCAATCAACGAATCCAGCTCGGCTGGGCTGCGTTCGGGAAATTGCGCAGCGTCTTTACGTCCAAAATACCTCAGTCCTTAAAGACGAAAGTCTTTAACCAGTGCGTGTTACCAGCGATGACCTACGGTGCCGAGACGTGGTCTCTCACTATGGGCCTCATAAGGAAGCTCGCGGTCGCACAGCGCGCTATGGAAACGGTAATGCTTGGGGTTTCTCTACGAGATCGAATCAGAAATGAGGAGATCCGTAGAAGAACTAGAGTTACCGACATAGCAGAGCGAGTCAGCAGGCTGAAGTGGCAGTGGGCAGGGCACATAGCTCGAAGAACCGATGGCCGTTGGGGCAAAAAGGTTCTCGAGTGGAGACCACGTGACGGCAAACGCAGCGTAGGAAGGCCTCCCACAAGGTGGACGGACGACCTAGCCAAGATCGCCGGGACGCGTTGAATGCAGGCCGCTAACGACCGGTCGAAGTGGAAGTCAATGGGGGAGGCCTATGTTCAGCAGTGGACGTCCTACGGCTGATATGATGATGATGATGATGATATAAAATATTGATATCCGTAGTCCACAAAAACTGTATAACATAATAACTAAGTATAACCAAAACCAAGCAAAAGTATTTCAGTCCAATGTTTTGTCCGTTACGATATTGATTTGATATTCGCTTTATCATTTTCTAACCAATGGTTGCTATATAAGCGAAAAGAGATGGAGCTAATAAAATGCCGTTAGGCTAATTTTACGATAAATTTTACGTAGGGGCCATACTCTAATGACACGTGTGTAGTTTAGTGCGTAAGCAAATTGTGACGTGTGTATAGTACGTTGGCTATAATCAACTAAGATTATTTGAAGACACACACGGACATGGAATGAATCTTGGGGGATACCCTGCGGGCACTGGAAATACACTACTTGCCCGAGTCGCGTTCGGGTCCCAGTATACGGAGTAAACGTAATTTCGGACACTCGGACAATCGAAGGACACTCGGGAGACACTTGATGCATACGCTTGGGAAACGCTCGGACAATCGAAGGATACTCGAGAGACACTCGCAATACCATTTTGGAGTCGCGTTGGAGTTGCAATATACGAGTTACCGATTAAACGTGTTTTATTGCCGTTATCTTTCTGATAGTCCTATTCATCCCCTGTCTTCGCGTAGACTGCGACGACTATTCGCGAATCTACGCGTGCTTGTATAGGTCCCATAGCAGTTCCCATCCTCAACGACTAATTAGTAAGTAATTATCAACGACTTTAACGCCCTCCACGCACCACGGATCATGTGGGAAAGCATATGATCTGACACAATTGTTTACTTCACCAACGCGAATTTCAGATAAGGAGGATCATAAAATTTCCCTGTTTGACCTTCTGTTGACCTCTCATCTGGACACGCGCTCAATACAGGAATTCATTAATTTTTTTATAGGTCAGTGATTTTTGACGGGAAGTCGTCATTTGTTGCGTCCTACCCATGGGGGAGATTTGCTTCTCACCGCATGATTCAGACGTGGATGTTGACTCTATCACCGATTTGGTACTTCAAGGCATGGAACTCTCGGTGGCAAGTCGCAACCTTGGTTTGGTGACAGAGTACATTGTGAAGTGCTCTTGCGGTATTTGGAGGAGCATCGGCTTATTAGCGACTGCCAGTAAGGCTTTCGTTGTGGTCGCTCAGCCGGTAATTTTCTAGTTGACCTGACACAGATGTGCTGAAGCAGTTGAGACTAAGAGGGAGGCGAATGCAGCCAGTTTGAACACAGCGAAGGTCTTTGATCGGGTATGGCACAAAGCAACGATTGTTAACTAAAATCTCTGACTGGAGTTGACTAAATTTAGTTCAATTCAACCCCATCAAGATACAAGTTGAAAACACAGTTAAAAAGTCCCCATTTAGTCGTAGTACCCCATTTTGAGTATAGTCCCCTGTCTGCCACAGCCAATAGGGTCAAATTCGACTCCACCTGGAGTACTGTTCTCATCTCTAGGCTCTTGCCCCAGCTTCTTCCATTTGACCGCATTCAACGTAGAGCAGCTCGAGTTATCAAAGATCAAGGTCCTTCTGATCGACTTAATCCTTTTGACTCTGTTGAAAAAACGGTATCGTTGCAGCTGTTTTTTTTAACAAACAAGAAAATTGACGAGTGTGCATAGATAGTTAAACAATTGCTTGTTCGCGACGGTATTTTCATAGAAGACAATTTGAACGTAAAACGGTTGCAGAACACAAAACGGTCTTTGTAAACGGTTCGTCGTGGCAACGCTCACCTCTATAATTTTCTCCGTCTACAACAAAAAATCAACTAATTGCATGCAGTTTGCATTTTGCAAATTGCTATTCGGCACACTGTATGGATAAACTTTGACATTTAAACATAGATTAAAAATCAAAATCCGTAAAGCTTTTAAAGTAATAGTAAGTATTTTGTTTGTTATGACAGTGAGTGAGTATAATTTGATGGCGATGATAGTAATAGTAGGAAACTTAAATATATCATAACATAAGATTAATTTTTATAAAAATGTCTCACGGAAAAATAGTGCTAATGGCTTGCGGAAGCTTTAGTCCGCCAACCTTCATGCATTTGCGTATGTTTGGTAAGTATTATTAAAAATTCATTTCATCGAATTCGATTTTTTTAAAAAAAGGTTCATTTTATCCGTAATTATTTATAATTTCAATTTAATTTTATAACGGTAGTTTTATAGCAATTACTAAAAGGTAAAATTGTATTTTTTTGTAAAAATTATATACATATTAATCGTAACATAATATATTTAATTTTGTGATGTTATATAAGGCAAATTGTAATTTTTATCTTATAATTTAAACAGTTTCGTACGAACAATTACACATTTATATATACATTTTTTTTTATTAAAGTATAACTGATTAAGTTAGAGGCAGGGACCACAAAACTACACGAAGACGGGGTGTCTGTTTTGGATCTCTGTGTCTTTATAGCATGCTAAAATTTTACCTTCGTGATAATAAAAATACTGCATTTGTTAGGTAAATTCATATGCAACATTGATAATATGAGCATATTCATATCAGCCTCGGTTATTTGTCGTATAAAGCAAAACAAATAGGAGATATCTATCTATATGTGGTGTTATATTAATAAAATTAGCTAGAGTAGTTGTCATTCATTTAAATGCTCATTACAGAAATCATGGAGATGCTTTTTGTAATACAACAGAGTTATTGTTAATGTAAAGAGATACTGATGGTTTCATGGCTAGAAAGTTAGGCCTTTGATCGTAGGTGGGAACACTACCACTGTGCTTAAGATGTTTAGTTTTTTGGTTCCCTATTATAATAAAATGACCTTACATTTGTTTCTGTCCATAGCAGTTTGTGAGAATAATCGTACACAAATAGATTTTGCAACAATGAACGGATCTTGATAAATGTTAAAAGACATAAGGGTTTGTTGTTTTTTTACTAAATGTAGTACCTAGTAGGCTACTATAGTATTGAATTATATTCATGCAGTTTTTAATATTCATATATTTTGGCAAATAAAAATTTCCAAACTAATACAAAGATTGCATTTTAGTTTCTTTAGTAGTAGAAGTTTTATTTTATTGGGAAGTTAATTAAAACCTCATATCCTTATAAAAAAAGCTCCTTACTTCATTTTTGTTCTTGAGTGGATTAACCACTTACATTAGATTTGCAGCTTATTGGCTATTCTTGATATCTTAATGACTATTCCTTCTTAAACTTTTCAATTTGCCTCACTTGTTTTATGAAATACAAACTAATGTTAATGTTAAAACATTAAAATTAGGATTTGTTCAATCATACAATTAATGTAATAAGATAGATAAGTTAGAAAAGAGGTCTAAAAGAAAGCCTTTTGTGATTCGGGCTAGTGTATGTCTATTTATAAAGCTGAAAAATCTAAATACATTCAAAGGCATAATCATATATAATAAATATTTTTCCATTTATAATATTTTTCTATTTAATTGTATTCCTATTCCTACTCCAATCATATATAATAAATATTTTTCCATTTAATGTTCTTTCTATTCCAGATCTCATTAAAATAATAGGCAACCTCATTGGTCCTAAAATACTTCTTTTTGGCCGCCTTAATATGTTGACCATCCTTCAATCTTTTTTGAAAATTATCTTCAAGTGCAAAAGGTTTTGCTAAATGTCTGAAACCTGCAACACATTACTTGTAATGTCAACACTTGTTCTATCTGCTATACTTTCGTTTCACAACTCCAATACAATGTTCAATAATCTGCGACGTTTTCTTTTATGACGAAGGTGTTTTTTCTTACAGAGGATCTGTTTGTTTCATCGTATTTATTATAAAAAAATGTGTGCGTAAACTAACTATTCTTTTCGTATCTAATGTACGAACGATGCTTGAATTTTGTCAAACGTTTGATACAATTTCGTCAAATATATTTCCTTTCTTCTGCCCTTATCGCGTATAAAGTGAGGTCGGTGCAACACGTCAGTCATGTTGGCAAGGTTGGTATTGGTAAGGTTTTTTACGAGCGGCCTGACGTCAACCGTCCTTGGGAATAAACACCCATATCTGGAACAGTTATCTGTGGGTCACATGCATACTTGTCCCGCACGACAAATCGAAGCAAACGAAGGCGAAGCCAACAGCAACGGCAACTGCGCCGCCCAGTCATTTTTAAAACTATTAATTTTTAGAGCCATTTAAATAAGATTTAGATGGACGAATGTAAATCAAACTAGACATTAACTTTGTAACAAATTACTCATCATCGTCATTCTTATGCCCTTATATGACCTAGGTGGGATGGGCACAACATGTGGATCATGTAAACGGATTTGGTTTGGTTACATTTTTAGGGTTCCGTACCTAAAGCGTAAAACGGGACCCCAACACTAAGACTGCTGTCGGTCCGTCTGACACCAGGCTGTATCTCATGAACCGTGATAGTAAAACAGTTAAAGTTTTCACAGCTGATTTATTTCTTTTGCCGCTATAATAAAAAATACTAAAAAACAATAAAAATATTTAAATATGGCTCCCATACAACAGATATGATTTCTTTGACGTTCTTATAGATACCCTTTGCGCGCTACTACTAGCTCTTGGTCGGTTTTAATATGAACCTTTTTCTTAAGACCGGCTTAGTCAAGCCTCCTTGATAACAAAATGTCCCCTTTCAGAAATTGCCCGAGATTACATCCACAGCTTGGGCCTCGGCACGGTCATCGGCGGAATTGTGTCGCCAGTGCACGACGCGTACGGCAAGAAAGACCTTGTTGCCGCGCACCACAGGTTTGAATGAATGATGATCACTGAATTTAAATGATCCCACACACAGACAACAACTCACTCTCTCTCTCTTTCACACACACTACACACTTTAATTATTATATACCGTTTTATATGTTAGTATTTGTTACTCTTGTTTTCCAATTAATGATACTGCGGGGTGGTGAACTGGTGTCCTGTATTTACGGGTTTTTTCAATGCCTAGTGCAGGCACCAGCAATTCACAACTAATAAATGAATATATCCTTTGAAGTGGAACGAAAAGTGTAAACAAATAATATATTATTTTAAGCTATTATTTGCGGTGAGAAATAAATATTTTATTATTTATTATTATTATTATTATTATCTACTCGCTCTGAAACATACATGGCAACACACCCTGGTAAGGTGACTCAGTGAGGTCGACCTTTAAGGCCCATTTACATGGTGCCAGTTTCTTGCCTGTTGTATACAATTAAATTGAAGCAATAAATGAGTTGCATGGTCTAAACAACAAATGGTCTTAAAAATTATTGCGCGCAATTTGTTGCATTCAATTATTGCTCTTGTATGTACAAGAAAATGGCATCGTGTAAATGGGCCTTTAGTCCTTTACCATATACACCCGTAATTGTAAACAGACAAGGCTATATTCCGGATCGATAGGTATACTTTTCGTTGCATGCGAGCGTGACGGCCTTGAATTTACTAGACAACCGTAAATATTTGTGGTACTGAAACATAAGTCAATTGTTGTTTTATAAACGTCGTCAAAATCAATATTGTTTTTTCCTCGTTTAATAATTTAATAGCACATTCGTAAACAGGAAAGGGGACAACGTATATAATTTGATTTAATATTCATATGTTTAAGAAAAAAATATCCTTTTATCTTGTGACAACTCATCAGATCTAATATTTCTTCGTAATCAGCTTGCGGCCATCTCGTTTTATATCATTATAATTGTGGTAGGGTCACGCAGCAGCCTCGGCTGTTGCACGAATGGGCAGTCTCGTCCGTGTAAGTACCACGACCTCACAGCAGACCGCCGTAAAGTGGAAGTATAACATATACTTTCGCGTTTCGTCTGGTGAGTGAGGTAGCCGGAGACCGATATTCAAAAGGTTGTCAACGCATCTGCAACCCTTGGGTGTAGCAGATGTCCATTGGCGGCGGTATTCACTTAACATCAGGTGAACCGCCTGCTCGCTTAGAAACTTTTCACATGAGAAAAAAAATTATGACGTCTAAAAAAAGCAAGATTGCGTTGCTATTACAATAATTGAAGTGTTATATTTTCGTTCGCAGATCGAATTACATTAATTACGAACCATTACTAAATTTAATTAACAATAACAATGTACGGCTCAAGGTTGCGCTTAACGTGATAAGCTTTATCATATAGTAATTATAACGAATTGAGCCTTATTTCCTAACGTATAAAATTGCTGACGTCATTATTGCCTTTATCAAAAATTTTATTAAATTATTGAACAAATCGCTTAAAATAAACGTTCACAGACGCTAAAAATATTTTATAAAAAGTACCCTTCTTCAGCCAAGAAAAAAATTTATCTCACTCATTGTAGCTTAAAAAGTATGGACATTAGAAAGTTTCAAATAAAAGTTGTGGAGATTACATTGATCTTTAAAAATGGATAGACTAATACAATACTATAAGAGATATTGGCCTATAAAATCTGTTCATTAATTCTATAAATCGTAAGCGGTGAGTTTTACAAAAAGTTTATGAGAAACGAGACGTGATATTTTATTCTCTACAATATTTCGGGACATATTTTTACGTAGTTATCTTACGTAGTTTACGGGACATATGAGTACCCATACAAGCTTTGCTTAGTTTGGGACTATAGAACGTTGTGTAAAAAAGTGTCTTTAAAAATTTATTATTTACTAACTGGCCCGCGCAACTTTGTTTGCGTTTATCTATCGGATACTTTAAAATTTGTAGAAAAACTACGAAAAGTTTGTCGCCTCTGTGGGAATAATATTAATATTAATTAATAAATCTAGCCGATATATTTACCTTACATCGTCATCTGTTAGAATCTTTTGGAACTCACAGATAATTATAACTCTTCATCATTTATTAAACAAATTATTTACCTACAATAAAAATATTGCTGCTATAAACTGAGATATAAACTATACTATCTCTCAAGTTGGATCAAACTGCACACAGTATGCAAGATTTTATTAAAATCGGTTCAGTAGTTTAGGGGTTCACCGCGGACAAACAACGTGACACGTAATTTTTATATATAAAGATTATTAATCATTCGCACTATACAAAACGTAAGAGTAAACGAGAAGAGTAGACTTAGCGGGCAAATCCCTTCGCAGGATATCGATGTTGCAGCTTGCGGTGCGGTCTTCTGGCTGGATCAAGGTATCGGAGTGGGAGACGCAACAACCAGGCTGGACCAGGACCAAACTCTCGCTGCAATACCATCAGGTTACTGATGCTTATTATCTGATCTCAGTGTATGATGCAACATTTTATTGTTTTCTTGATACGACACATCCGAAGTTCTTTTCAAATACATCCACAGCGGTTTCCAATTAGAAGTTGGGGTTGACGGCCTTATTACCGTAGCGGATAGTGAACATGTCTCTTGCGTCGGGGGTCGTGGGTTCGATTCCCACACGAGACAACAATTTGTGTGACCCCAACATATGATTGTTTCAGATATGTTTGGTGTTTGTCCACGTGAAATTTATGTATGTTAAAGGTCAGGATAATGTAATCCTACTGTAAGGCAGGATAATGTAATCCTACTGTAAGGCGAAATGTCATCGAAGGGGAGACTACAATAGACCACGGTGGCGGTTAGGACTTACCACCCATCCACTTCTAAACAAAATACAAACAATTAAACGGGCAGTAACTCGGTGGCGCCGTTGTTAAGCTTTTGGCTTCAGCGTCGGGGGTCGTGGATTCCCACTCGGGGCAACTATTTGTGTGACCCACAGGTAATTGTTTCGAAACTGGGCGTTTGTTTCCCGAGGAGGGTGGACGTCGGATCGTAAGAACATAGTCAAAACCGCTTACGACATTTCACATGCTGTGCCGACCCCGCCTCCGTTGGGATATGGGCGGGAGGATGATGTTGAAATCACGCGACAACCTTCCCCATAACCCCAGACGCCCTCGCTTCACGCCATCACCGGTTCCCAGGACACGATCAACAGCCAAATCGCGCACGGCTCCAGCGACCCGCCCAGCTGGATGCCCGACGACATCCTGAACGTGAACAGCATCGACGAACCGGACGATCTGATGCTGAAGATGAACGGGAATTGCCCGCGCGGCGGAGGGGGAGGGGTGACGGTCCGCCTGCTCTGCGGAGCCGATCTCCTGGAGTCGTTCGCCACGCCGGGACTGTGGGCCGACGAGGACGTAAGTGCTGGGTACCAGGAGCCTGGACCATTGCTGCACCGGGGCCGAGCTGGAAGTGACAACTGTGGTAGGGCCACGCGGTAGTCTTTGCCGTGGCACGAACGGGCACGCTCGCCCGGGAAAGTACCGCGGCCTCGGAAGACATCTCGATGTATTGTATTTCATCTTTATTTCTTTTTTTCTCATTTTAGCCAATGCTTAGAGCCTATACAGACAATATCAAATGACTTTTTGACAAAAAAAAATTTAACGTTTCATCTTAAGCCCAGGGATTGGAACTATTTGTTAAACTTTATGTAAAATGTAATGATGTCGTTTTCGTTTTTCACTATTTTCAAAATGTATTATTAAGAATATAAGTAGTATATTTCGGAAAAGTGAATAATTACTAGACTTCCGCGTGGTGGACTATGCCCTGATACCCTCTGTATAGAGGAGGCCTTTGCCCAGCAGTGGGACAGGTATAGGCTGTTACTTTACTTTACTAGAATGTTTACGATGCGCGACCCCTAATAACAACACTAACTTCATGGTGCTACCATGGCAACCGACTACATTTACCTATAATTCCACGTTATTCAATTGGACCGTTTATTTCTTCTTTTGCACAAAAAGTGAGACACTGGCACGCGGCATACAATTTTTAATTATTTTTCTTTTGTTACGCTAAAGAAGTATATAACTTCGTACGTACTTTATTAAGTAAATTCTTAAGATTAAATTCGAGCTCCACGTTTTCCAGTTGGAGACCATCGTCGGTAAGCACGGGCTGGTGGTCGTGACCAGGGCTGGCTGCGACCCCGGACGCTTCATTTACGAGTCGGACATGCTTTACAAGCATCGGGTGAGTGGCCTTATTAGAGTGGATTTGGAGATACCTTCAAATTGTCATCTAACTTTATGACATTGAAATTTATAAAGTAAATTCGAGTGACACAAAAAAAACCTCATTATACCTGGGAAAAATCACGATGTAACAGCTTTCAAACAAAAAAAAAACCGTTCCTTCTGCATGTGAACTTTTGGTTTCTCCTATGTTAAATCCTAAATGAAGGAAAAAAAAACTTTTCCGATCAAATTCTGATTTTGTACAAACTAACAATTTTTCTAATTCCCAAGGAATTTTCTATCAAATCCCAAATGTAATCTCCCATCATATTCTTGTGGCCTTTGGTAACGTTGTTCAAAGTAAATCACATCTTGGTGAAAACGTTCTGCTCTGAGTAGGCATCATTAGGTATATTATCAGTAGGCATATTGTCTTTAAATTGATCCAGGCACATTCTGCAGCCCATAGTTACAGACTTTACCGTAAGAATTTAGACTTCCATTAGTTTTGTTTTGAGTTTATGTGATTAATTCACAATTGCAATTGCAAATGACATTTCTTCTTTTTCCCCTGTATTCTTCACATACCTTCGAAATGTTTTTTCTTTAAACCGTGACACGGTCAACGCTATTAGTCAACGAGTCGGCTCGTCGAAGTGATGATGGTGACCAACTATGTACGAAAACATCTTGATGAAATCTGCATATTCTCGAAATAATAACTAAAAAAAAATATTTCGAAGACATGTGAAGTGGGGTCGTGTGGAGGACTACTACCTAATGCCCACTGTACAAACACTTCTCCCAGCTATGGGACATATACAGGATGTTTCATTACTTTCAAACACGTAACGGTCAACGATATTAAAAATAAGGGGTGGTAGGTTGGCAAGGTATGGGCACATTATGAGAAGGCATGCAACTCATGTGACTAGAAGGGTTATGAATAAATGTGGATGGAGGGTGTAAATCTAGAGGAAGACCGAGAAAGATCTGAATGGAGTGTGTGAAGAATGGTAGGTCTGTGAAAGGGGTGACGATGGGTGATGATAGAGGAGAGTGGAAGGTGCCGATCCCACCTAAGAAGGAGAAAGAAGAACGGTCCACGCTACTAACGAACGGCGTCGGCCCGCCAGCGGAACGTGATGATGGTGACCAACTACGTGACCAACGAGGTCAGCTCGACGGTGCTCCGGCGGCTGGTGAGACGGGGCGAGAGCGCCAAATACCTCACCGAGGACGCGGTTCTAGCGTACATCCGCCAGAACGGGCTCTACGGCGCGACGCCGTTCGTCACGTGAGGGAGTTTTATATTTAAAAAAAAAAACATTACGCGGGTTTCCCGCTATTTTTGACGTTTGGCGTTCATAGTCTGTGTGTCTTTTTTTTATGGTCAATACCGCGATTATTGTTGCCGTTTATATGACGTTTGACGTTTTGTGTTTTCGTTTTGTTTTATTTCTAAATCGTTATCCGTTTTATGTTAATTTAATTATCTGTTGCCGTTTATAAGACGTTTGACGTTTTGTGTTTTGTTATAGTTTCGAAACTGTTATCCGTTTTATGTTTATTTTACAATGTTAAGTTTACTTATCAATGAAACGATCCAATGTTATATTGATAATATATTTTTTTTTGAAAGAGAAGTAGCTATTTTTGGTTTTGTATTTTTGTTTATGTTCCCCTGGAAGATTTAGTGTAGCCTGATTAGAAAAATGTGAAATCCCTCCACGTCGCGAAGACCTTAATAGAGTTTGTGCCAACTATGAATTAAGTGTTGCATCGAGATAAATTCGATTATAATTTTCTCATCGGGCTACATACGTGCGATCGAAGTACGTAGTGTACTTTAAAACGGGACCGCCATTTTCTGGCTATGTCATTATCACCACACCGCATTCTTGTGCACACGCCGAAGCGAGCCAATCCAGAGACTAATCACGGGAAATCCCTTACACGCCCACCGCGGAGACAGTGAGTATAACCTCCTCAGCGATCTCATCGACGACTGCGAGGAGCGCTCCTCGCCCGAGGAGACGAGCTTCAAGAACATCCTCATATCGATCCGCGACCGTCCGACCATAATAGACGAGACGGTGACCGTCAAGCGGTCGCGCAGGCCGCTGCTGCCGAAGCGGGGCGACAGCGTCAGCCCCTCGGAGCCCCTCAAGCCGAGGGCGGCGTACTCCGAGCGGGCGGACGGCCACCTGCCCGGCAGGGCGGTGCAGGTCCTCGGCGAGCCGAAGGTGAGTGACCACCGCAGGAGGGTCAGCGACGGCTGCGTGGGGCTCCGCCCCGAGTGCGCCCCGCGCCCCGCGGCGCCCCCTCCGCAGCAAGACGGCGAATACAAGACGCGCAGCTGCAACGACATCGTCCGCCTGGTGCTGACCAAGCACGGCATACACGTGATCAGCGACACGGAGGCGATAGTTTAGGGCCGACCGCCGGCCGAAACCCGGCCTACGGGTGTAGCGTAGGGTGAACTTCGCAACGGGAGCGGCAGGCGAAACGCGACCGTGTAGCGACGTGTCTAGAGTCTAAATTAGTCTTCGAACCCGAGGATCGCGCAAAACTCGGCCGACAGCAACCAGGTTCAATCATCGCCAATGGGTATGTAGGGTAAATTTCGTAACGGAAGCGTTTGGCGAAACGCGATTGTATAGAGTCCAAAGGCTCCCAGATTCTTTTTTCTTATAGACTATCAAAGTTTGGCTGGTTAAGGTGGACCCTCCGCAGCAACACTATCAAATTCCCGAAACTCGACGATAAATGTGATGATTACAACTAACGTAGACCCCCGTCGAGGCTCCCGTAGATCCCTGCGGGTTCACCTGGACCTCTTTGGGAACTAAGGATCACGCAAAACTCACAATCGACAAAATCACCAATGAGTATAATAGTGTAAGTTAAATTTCGTAACAGAAGCGATTAGCGAAACGCGTTCGAACATCGATGTGTGCCAGACGTTTTAGATGAAGAGATAGGGCAACACTCGCACACGTAGTAGAACTAACCTAACCTTTAAATGTATGTATGTTTGGATGAACTTTTAACTTCTAAGGTGAGTTTAAGTTTTTCGTTTAATACACATTCGCACAAGATATGATGGCGATTGGATGGTCGTCGCTATCTGGTATATACTGTTGCACACTTATCGATGTTAAATTAAAGACCATGGAGTGTCGAGGATAACGAGTAGTATTTCATATATTGTTTTACTGAAAAAGTGTCCCCGAATATGTTTTAAGAGGGTTCAAAAAACTGATATAAACAGTAGCAGATGAAAGAGGTATGTCCAACAGCAGCAGATGAAGTATTTCCAAGAAGATACTAAACTATAAATAGTAGATTATGAATAAACAAACTTTTAAGTAAAGCCAAAGTTATGAGTCGAGAAAAACGCGAATCTTAAAAAATTTATTTATGTTAACATTATAATAACTTGTTAGCTTTTACTGAGTGTATCTGTCTCCATTTATTTTTACCACTTTACTTTAAATGTAGAATTTATGTTACAGTAACGCCATATTTAGCGTATCTATACATTGAGATACTACTGTTTTTCTCTTAACTCCAAAATAAAGACACATCAACGACTGCGACAGATTAAAAATATTGTATATGATTTCTACATAAAGCACGATTTGTATAAGAACAAATTTTTATTGGAGATTGAGTTTGGAATGTTGCATATAATAAAAGTCTTCTTTTTATACTCAATTTCTTTCTAGTAGTATTTGTTCAACAGAGGATTTTTAATTCTTAAAATATAAGAATGTCGACAACACTCGAATCGATTTAAAAAACATATTTTAAGTTCATTTGTTGAATGCACATTTATTGATTTAAATTTGAAATTGATTGACGTTTAATGTGTCAGACAATTGTCATTGACACCTGTTTCTATATTAAGTTTTTAAATAAAAGTTTTCTAGATTAGATTATATTATTTAAATTACACGGAAACGATACTTATATACTTTGCCTATAAATAATACATATTGTATTGGAATTTTATAGTCAATTGTGAACCTTTTAAAATTTACCTCCGAATGTACGGAATTTAAGGAATTTAAATTAATCAATATTTGTATAGTGGTTTAATGGTTATACTACATTAAAATTAATAAAGTTCAATGTTAAACTAGTAGAGTAGTCTTTAAAATTGTTATAAATGTGAATGACCTAACATAAAAAAACCATAGTATACATATTATTTTTATTACACAGTATTAACTTTATAACATTTTTCTACAGACGTTATAAACATAAAGAAAATGTTTAATTATAAAAGGATATGTTTACCATTGTTTAAGCCCATACTTAATTAGTATATTTAAACAAATCAGTATTAATAATATTATGAAATCCCTTAGTTCCAGTTATACAAAATATATAGAATAGATAATTGATTATGTATTTATGAAGGAAGAAATGCCCCTAAATTAAGTTTTTCAGTTTCTTTAAATCTTATTAAGATAAGTTTACAAATTTATTATACACAGGCCTAAATTTTTAAATTTAACTAGGCAATTTTTAATTTATTAATCATTATCTTCCATCACTGAATTGAACTTTAATATGTATAAATATTTTATTCCTATATAACTTGTTAGTCTTTTTTGATAATTTTTGCTAACTTAATTGAGCTAGAAGTTTAGAAGACATATTTACTTGCCAAGATGTGAAATTGATTTATGGGCATGTCTCCTCAAATACAGGGAGGCTTTTCTAAGTGTATCCATTTTTTTAATTAAATTCTAGACATAAAAAATGATAAATATTTTAAATCACTCGTAAGTAATTAATTACATTCATTTGAACTTATCTCAAAAAGTGCGTGATTTATGGGCAACTCATTTATTTTACGCGCGATCATTCATAACTAACACGCACACAAGTTCGTTTGTGTGCATGTTAGTTACGAAGTGATCAGTAAAATTTAGGTATTTATGAATGACTACCGTATTGTGTACAAGTTCTGTTTTTTAGGGAACAGCATGGGAATTATTTTGAAAAAAAAGTTTGTTTTCATTTCAATAAACGATTATGCTACCAAGTCTGAACCACCTGTGTAAATTTGGGCACTTTTAAAAAAGTCCCCCTGTATATTGACCCACTGTGATAATTTACCAAATTGATTCTCTTGTGCCAAGGAATGATAATGAAAATTGTGCATGTATAGTTACAGATTACCAAATATTGCACTTATTTAAGAATGCTCTCTCCTTTTTTAAACTTATACATTAAAATCTATCTCAAATTTTTGATTGATTTTCCTTTCCCTGACCAAAGAAATTGTAAATCTTATGTCATGTTTTAAAAGTTGTGTATGATATTTTAAATCAATAGGAAATGCCTTTTAATCAAACTAATCGTTGTAAAACTAGATTTTAGAGCAACTAAGGATATGTGATAATGAAATCTGCATTTAAGGAATTTGTAGTGTATTTATTTTTGTGTATATTCATTAATTCATAATTATGTGCGCTGAAATAAATATTTTGGATTTTAAACTTCAGCACAATCTTACCTATATTTCGTAGTTTATAAATAATTTGCCTATTGAATCTACAGCATGCAAAATTGTTTTCTGCCATTCTTATTTGTAACCGTTGTATGATAGCAGGAAGTCATTCGCATGTTTATTTAATAGGACATCCCAAGTTGTTTTTACCACTGAGTATTTTCCTCTTAGTTTTATTGTATAATATCCTCTATTGTTTTCAACCTTAGGACGGCCGGTGAGGATTTACATTTAGCATAGTATTGTAATCTTTTAATCTAATCAAAAGTATTTTTTTGGGCTACAAAAAAATTCACCTTAAATTATTTGCTTGATACTATATGGAGTCTTATATGGTGGGCTTTTTAAGTAGGATGTATGTTGTTGTTGCATTTATTTGGTCTCTTATATCGTATTTGTTAAATATTAGTATTGCCTTAAGACAATTTTTCCATGTGGATTTTGCTTAGGTAATATCCTATTACAAAATGGGACAATGTTTAACTATGGTCTCAGTGTTTTTGCATTTTTTACAATGGCACGCTCATAAATTGCTAATTTTCATTAATGAGTTGGCTCGACTTAGGAAATACCACGGCCTCACTAAAAGATGGTTTGTTAAAAAACAAAAAGCTTATAACATGAAGGTTGAAACACATCTACCACTCTACCGGTAACATTGACCGTCAGGTGGATCACTTAATTGCTGACATTCCAAAGTGGGTCTTTGCAACATCGATATGGATATTTTTCATTTCTTAACGTACTTTATATTCGCAGTACCATTTGCGTTGATGACCGTCGTAGTGTTACCGTTCCCGCCGGCCGTTCAAAGTCCCTAGCTAATCTGTGGCCTTTAGGGGTCGTCCATTAATCACATGATGGCTTTTTTTTAGCTTTTGTTTAAACACTCCTCCGCCTCTCATCATAATAATCTATCTAATTTAGTGTTGAAACATTAAGAACCGTGATGAAAGTGTCCAGACTTTTTTTTCTGTCGAGTGGGGAAATTTTTGTCAAGCACCAGCGGCTCTAGCTGGCCGCTTTTCGGTTTGCTAATCGCGCGTTCAACGAAGAAATAATCACACGTGATACCTCACTCCATCCCTTGTGATATTTGCATGTTTCTATCCCCCACCACCCTTACGAGCCTCACGTGATTGATGGGACGATCCCTTAGCTTATCTGTGGCCCTTAGCTAATCTGTGGTTTGTGTGCGTAGGGAGGCTGCCCGTTGTAGCTGACGTGTTGCGCGCCCCGCGACTAAGCCGGCGGCGCGCTTGCACAACCGAACGGATCCCCTCCCCCCACCCCCTTATTATTTACTTAGCCCAATTGGTCGCGCCCGAAACTAGACATGATTTGTAATACTTTTTAATCTATGATACCTAGTGTCATTTGCCAGTGATGAATATTACTTTTTTTTCATTCTTTTCCTGTTTAACTGGATATTTTTTTTAATTTTTGTAGCGTCTACAACTTTCACAGTAAGAAAGTCGCTTACTTAGCGGCCATTGTTTCTATTATAATCAATGTTACTGTACGGTAACGCATTTTCTGCGCCAATCGCTTAAATTTAACATGTGTTGATAAGTGTAATTGGCCTGGTCTCGGGTTTTGGCGCGACCAATCCGTTTTTAGGAAGCGAGTCTTTACTTATATTAAATTTAGTTTGTGTTGCAATTCTTGTTGTATTGGATAAGATATGAAGTCAATGCTGAAATAACTAATCTATGCCTTTTACTTTTGGCATACTTAAATATAATGCATACAGTGTGTCGTTACCATCGCGACAATAAATAAACACACGTCTAACGCTACTTGCCAATAATCATTAAAAAATATTAACGTTAAACAAAATCCATAATTAAAAAAAAATATTTTTCAAACAAACTAATTAAGTAAAAAAGAAACGAAATTTGTAAC